CAGTGAGCCAAGATTGTGCCACTGCACTCCAGCCTGGTGACAGAGCAAGACTCCCATCTCAAAAAAAAAAAAAAGAATTTTCTATTCTGGAGCCATTAGAAAGAGGAAAATAATTATATTGTTCTTTCTTTTTATAACTTTTTATTACTGAAAATATCAAAAGTACGGAAAAGTAGGATAGCGTAATGAACTGCCGTGAATGCATCATTCAGCTTCAACAATGTTACAAATCTGTTTTCAAGACCCTACCTAATTTTTCTCTAGACTGTTTTAAAGAAAATTCCAGCCATCATATGATTTTACTTGCCCTTTTAAAAAAATAAGCAATAATTTTCGGTTATTTTTTATTGTTTTAAAAATGCCTTTTTACGTTTGATTTGTTGAGTTAGGATCCTAACAGTGTTCACACTTTGCAATTAGTTGATATGTCTTGTTTTGTTTGGTTTGGTTTGGTTTGAGACGGAGTTTCACTCTTGTTACCCAGGCTGGAGTGCAATGGTGCGATCTTGGCTCACCGCAACCTCCGCCTCCTGGGTTCAGGCAATTCTTCTGCCTCAGCCTTCTGAGTAGCTGGGATTCCAGGCACGTGCCAACATGCCCAGCTAATTTTTTTGTATTTTTAGTAGAGACGGGGTTTCACCATGTTGACCAGGATGGTCTCGATCTCTTGACCTCGTGATCCACCCGCCTCGGCTTCCCAAAGTGCTGGGATTACAGGCTTGAGCCACCACGCCCAGCCTAGTTGATATGTCTTTTAAGTCTCTTTTATGTATAAAAGTTCACCTTTTAAGTTTATGCTATTTATTTGCTGGAAAAAGTCAGATCATCTTGTAAAAGTTCTCACATTCTGAATTTGGTGATTAGATCCTTGTGATGTTTAACATGTTCCCCCTTTGTGTTTTCTTTAAGTGATAGATTTTGAGGCTTGATTAGATTCAATTTCCCTTCTTTTGGCAAGAATATATCATAGCTTGTATAGTGTATTTTTCATTGTATTACAGGAGATTGTGTTGTCCTACCTTCAGAGATATTAAGGCTGATTAGCAGGCTGCAGATCACCCTGATTCATCCATTGTAAAGTTCAGCCTCAGCCTTTCACCTAATGGTTTTAACAGCCATTGATGATCATTGCCTAAATCCATTATTTCATTAGTGACTTTTTTTTCTAATTCTGTCATTCCATCTATGGAAGGATGAAATTTTCTTTTAATTAGTGGTTACCCTGATATGCAGTTGGCACAAGAAAGGCAAGATGATTGCTTTCCATTTATTTTTTTTCTATTTATTAATATTATTTTTCAGAGGCATGTGTTGTTTCCTTAACAGCCCCGAAAAGGTGACGAATTCTTCAAAATATAATTTTGGGTGTTTCATAAATTTGCATTTCAATCCACGTTATTTATTTTTAGTGTTTATATATTCCGTTTTTGGGCATTGGGAACCCCTTCAGTTTGGCTCTGTACCCTTTGATGTGACCCAGTAATTTTAATAGTTTATTGACTGTTTCTCAAGCCCATCCTTATACATTTAAGGTCATAGGGTTTTTAATTTTTTAATTTTTGTATTGATATTTATTTCCCAAGTATTGAAAATGTTAATTTTTAATATATTTATGATATTTATTTTTCACTTCTCTCCTGCCAGACTCTGTAATTATGTAACTTTTGCATAATAATGAAACAAAGTTAAGGAAGAACTCAAATAACACAGTCTGCTGTCTTATGGACCTAGTCTCTTTTTTTTCCTCATAGCTCTTTCACTGAATTTCTGTCAGATGCCTCTTTTAACATTAAAAAAAATATGGGAGGGTTTGTACAAAAATAATAGTTAAATGACATAATATAATGTTTTTCTTTTTTCAACATTTTTCTCCCTGAGACTGAGTCTCACCCTGTAGTACCGGCTGGAGTGCAGTGGATCAGTCATGGCTCACTTGCAACCTTGTACTCCTGGGATCAAGGGATCCTCCTGCCTCAGCGTCCTGAGTAGCTAGAACTACAAGCGTACACCACCATGCCCTGCTAGTTTTTAAATTTTTTTTGTAGAGGTAGGATATCAATGTTGCCCAGGCTGATCAGGAACTCTTGGACACTAGAATCCTCCCACCTGGGTCTCCCAAAGTTCTAGGATTACAAGCGTGAGCCACCATGCCTGCCCTATTTTTTTCAACTTTTATTTTGGATTTAAAGTGTACATGTACAGGTTTGTTACATGTGTATATTGCATGATGCTGAGGAATGTGTTATGTGCAGTCCTTTCACCCAGGTAGTAAGCATAGTGACACAGGATTTTTCTTCTTTTTAAGACAAACTCTCACTCTGTAGCCCAGGCTGGCCTGCAGTGGCTGGATCTTAGCTAATTGCAACCTCCAGTTCCCAGGTACAAGCAGTTCTCCTGCCTCAGTCTCCCAAGTAGCTGGGACTACAGGCATGCCCCACCACACCTGGCTAATTTTTGTATTTTCAGTAGGGAGGGGGTTTCACCATGTTGGCCGGGCTGGTCTCAAACTCTTGACCTCAAGTGATCCACCCACTTTGGCCTCCCAAAGGGCTGGGATTACAGGCATGAGCCACTGCACCCGGCCGACACAGGATTTTTTTGGCCACTTTGCCAGCCAGAGACCTCCGGCCAGCAACATTCATGCCCAGGCCTTGCCCAGGCCCAAGCTCACCAGAAGAAATGCCCAGTCTATTCAGCCTACTGGGCTGTGCCTGGCTTGCGCTCTGGTGCAGATCCTGCAGCCATTTCAGCTGCACACTCAGACTCTGGTGGGAGTTGGGTGGTGAGCAAGTAAGCACAGTGTCTGGCCAGCCGCTCTAAGCACTGAGACAGGAGCAGGCTCTATGTGGGGCTTGTTGCTGGACCGGGCGTGTCACACTGACGGGAACACAGTGGTGCCCAAATAGGGGTGCCTGCAACCCTGAACCTCAGAGGGGGTGTCGCAGTGTGTTAATTGTGCTTTCAGTCCCTCCATCTGCAGCGGAATGGACAGAGGCATGTTAATAGTCCTTTCAGTCTCGTTGCCCCGGCTCTGGCCTGCTGTTGCTTTCCATTGAGTGGGGTAGCTGCCCTCCACTGGCAGAGTGTGGAGGGCCACAGTATTACAGCCTTCTTTGTACCTGTGTTAGGTAGGTCCTGAGTTCTTGTCCCTCATCCAAGAAGAATGAGGTTGTGCTGATGATCAAAGGGTAAGGAGAGCAGAGAAGAATTTTGTTGAATGACAAGAAATGGTTCTTAAGGGAGAGGACATGCAAAGGTGGTTTTCTCTCCCTCCCTCCCTCCCTCTCTCTCTCTCTCTCTCTCTCTCTCTCTCTCACATTGGGGCTGGGGAGCTTATGGGCTCAGAGTGGGAGAGTGCATGCTGATTGGTTTGTGAGTATGCAAAAAAGGCTAAAACAAAGGCGCCACTCAAAGGGGCATGATAATGTAAAAAAACCAATTAGGGAAAGGTAGATACAAGTTAAATAGGTGACAGGTGGGGAATCAATCAGAGGAAAGTGTGACAAACAGGAAGAGAGGTTCTCAATCCAGTCCGTGGATTTATCCAGGACTTGTAGCTAGGCTTTAAATTGTCTTTCCCTTGAAGGTTGGGTTTCCCTAGGGATCTACCCCATCTGCCTAGGCATCTAACTGCCTCTTGATGCTATCAATAGTACCTGATTGATAGTTTTTCAGCCCTTTTCTCGCGTCTTCCCTGCCCCCTCCCAGTGTCTGTTTTTCCCATCTTTATGTCCATGTGTACTCAGTGTTTAGCTCCCACTTAGAAGCGAGAACATGAAATATTTGGTTTTCTGTTCCACATTAATTTGCTTAGGATAATGGCCCCCAGCTGCACCCATGTTACTGCAGAGGATATGATTTTGTTCTTTCTTTTTTTGTGGGGCTTATCATATTCTATTGTGTACATTTTATTTATCCAGTTTACCACTGATGGGCACCCCTGGATTGAACCTTGTCTTTGTTATTGTGAGTAGTGCTGTAATGAACTACAAGTGCATGTGTCTTTCTGGTAGAATGATTATCCTTTGGGTATGTACCCAGTAATGGGATTGCTGGGTGGAATGGTAGTTCTAAGTTCTTTGAAAAATCTTCAAATTGCTTTCCAAAGTGGCTGAACTAATTTACATTCCCACCAACAGTGTATAAGCGTTTCTTTTTATATGCAGCCTCGCTAACATCTGTTATTTTTTACTTTTTAATAATTGCCATTATGACTGGTGTGAAACGTTCATCACTGAAATCAGAGAAATGCAAATCAAAAACTTCATATAATTTATAAAAGGTTAGAGAGCTATGAAGGCAGAAGGCTTTTACTGTCATTATCAGCAGCAATAGGGTATAAAGGAGACCACATCTAGCACAGTGTTATACACTGAGTAGATACTCAATATTTTTTTCTCCTAAATGTAGGTGACTTTAAGAGTAGTCTCGGCTGGGTACAGTGGTTCGCGCCTGCAGTCTCAGCACTTCGGAAGGCTGAGGTGGGCAGATCACTTGAGTCCAGGAGTTTGAGACTAGCCTGGCCAACATGGTGAAACCTCATCTCTACTAAAAATACAAAAAGTTAGCTGGGCATTGTGGTGCACGCCTGTAATCCCAGCTACTCAGAGGCTGAGGCAGGAGTATCTCTTGAACCCGGGAGGTGGAGGTTACAATGAACTGAGATTGCGCCACTGCAGTCCAGCCTGGGCAACAGAGTGAGACTTTGTCTCAAAAAAAAAAGAAGAAGAAGAATAGAGTCTCAGTGGGCTGGACTGGAATTCCAAAAGAATAGTGTCTCCAAAGAATTCCAAAAGAATAATTCCTAAGGAAAGGAATTACCCTCCATGTTTAATTCTTAGAGATTTATTTTTGCTCCTGCTGGAGAGGGGGCCATATTCTCCAAGCAATGCTGGTTGAGTTCTACTCTCTAAGATGAAATTTGAATATGAAAATGGGTTTTATTAATAAGGAAGAAATATACAGTTATCTGATGCTAACTTGATCTTTTTTTTCCCCAGATGATGGACATAAGAAAGCTCGAAACGCTTACCTGAATAATTCCAATTATGAAGAAGGAGATGAATATTTTGATAAAAATTTGGCACTCTTTGAGGTAATATTTGGGAGAAAACTATGGACTGAGACTTTAGGAACAGAGATCTCATGATAGGCATTTTTTTTTTTTTTTTACATCATTTGGTTTTAAAATTGTACAAGCTGGATTATTTAATAACTAATATTAAAAGAAAATATCATAATTATTGTAACTTGTTTTCATGCTAATTTTGTCTGTGTAATCTAATTATAGTGGGTAAATATCAAATCAAATTGCTATGTAGTAAAGAAGAGGAGTTTGACTTCTTGGACATATGGATAACCTTGCAGTCTAATTCAGCTGTGATTTAAATGTTTTTATTAGAATAATCTTTCTTCTAAGTATAAATCAGTGTATTTCTCTACCCTTTGTCTGGAAAGACTATCATTTGCCTTAGAACTAACTAAACAAAATCACTGTAGGAAGCAGGCTGCCAAATTAGCAGGACCTGCTTATTTTTTTTTATGTCAAATAATAATTGTATATATTTATGGATTACAGTGTGATATCTTGATATTTGTATACATTGTGGAATGATTAAATCAAGCTGATTAGCATATCTATTACCTTGGATACTTATCATTTTTGTGGTAAAAATAATTTGATTTTCTTAGCAGTTTTGAAATATACAATATATTATTATTAACTGTAGTCACTATGTTGTGCAATAGATCTCAAAAACTTATTTCTCCTAACTGAAACTTTGGACTCTGTGACTAACCTCTCCCTATTTCCCTACATATATCCCAAGCGTCTGATAACCACCATTCTACTGTTTACTTCGAGTTCTACTTTTTAGATCCCACATGTAAAGTGAGATCATGTGATATTTATCTTTATGTGCGTGGCTTATTTCACTTTACATAATGAAGAGGGCCTGTATATCTTATCGGAGTAAGACAACATGGACTCTGTGGCCAGACTTCACAACCTGTGGCCAGGTTGTTGAAAGGACCTGCCTTGGTTTATTTCAGCACTACCTTTGTCTGGCTTTCGACAATAAATGCCACTTCTCTATGGACCTTTTTTTGGTTTGTTTCTGAGACAGGGTCTTGCTCTGTCACCCACTCTAGAGTGCAGTGGCATGATCACAGAAATCTCCTGGGCTCAAGGGAGCCTTCTACCTCAGCCTCCCTAGTAGCTGGGACTAACAGGCATATGTCACCACACCTGGCTGATTGCTAAAATCTTTTGCAGAGATAGAGTCTCAGTATGTTGCCCAGGCTGGTCTTGAATGCCTGGGCTCAAGTGATCCTCCTGTCCTGCCCTCCCAAAGCATTGGGATAGCAGGTGTGAGCCACCATACCCAACCCAATGTTCCTTTTTTTTTTTTTTTTTTTTTGAGATGGAGTCTCACTCTGTCGCCCAGGCTGGAGTGCAGTGACACAGTCTTGGCTCACTGCAACCTCCGCCTCCCAGGTTCAAGTCAACTGCATCAGCCTCCCGAGCAGCTGGGATTACAGGCATGCGCCACCACAGCCAGTTGATTTTTTATATTTTTAGTAGAGATTGGGGTTTTGCCATGTTGGCCAGACAAGTCTCGAACTTCTGACTTCAGGTGATCCACCCACCTCAGCCTCCCAAAGTGCTGGGGTTTCAGACGTGAGCCACCACGCCTGGCCACTTATTTTTTAAATAATACTCTCTCTCATCTTCCTTCAAGCAGAGGTCTGAAGTCAATATTTACTTAAGTCACAAAAGTTTTTCCTCAGCCTGTCCATACTTGCCGTAAGTAATAGCTATAAATGTTAATAGCCAAAAAATGGGAGGTACTACAATTAAGGATCATATTATTGATGTTCTTTACTAGGTTACTGTGATTTTGTTTTTACTAAAGTTACATAGCTACTAGAAAGAATGTAAGGTTTTGTTTGTTTTGTTTTTTGAGACAGGGCTCACTCTATTGCCCAGGCAAGTGTTCAATGGTGTGATCACAGCTCATTGTAACCTTAACTTCTGGGCCCTAGTAGCTAGGATTACAGGCATGTGCTACCATGTCTGGCTAATTTTTCAAGAACATTTTTTGTAGAGATTGAGGTCTTGAACTCCTGGCCCCAAGTAGTCCTTCCCCCTCAGCCTCCCAAAATGCTGGGATTACAAGCATGAGCTAGTAGTGCACCCAACCCAGTAATGAAAGTTTTTATGTAAGAATTTTATGAGTGGAAATTAGCATGGAGGTTCCTCAGAAAATTAAAAATAAAATTAACTGTATGATCCAACAATTTCACTACTGGGCGTATATTCAGATAAAATGAAATCAGAATGTCATTGATATTTTCACTCTCATGTTTATGGCAGCATTATTGATAAAAACCAAAATATGGAATCAACCTGTGTCTTATCAGTTAATGAATAAAGAAGATGTGATATATAGAGACAGTGGAATCTTATTCAGCCATAAAAAGAGTGAATGCTATCATTTGTGAGGGCATAGATGAACGTGCGGGACATTGTTAATTGAAATAAAGCAGGCACAGAGAGACAAATACCACGTGAACTCACGTGCGGAATCTAAAAATTCAAACTCTTAGAAGCAGAGAGCACAGAATGGAAGTTTCCAGGAGGGAGGGAGAGAATGGGGGATGTTAGTCATAGGGCACAAAGTTTCAGTTAGGAGGAATAAATTTTTGAGATCTATTATATAGATGGTGACTATAATTAATAATAATGTATATTTTAAATTGCTAAGACAGTAGATTTTAAATGGTGTCAGCACAAGATAATTTGAGGTGATATGTTAATTAGGTTGATTTAATCATTTCACAATGTATGCAAATATTGAAGCATCACATTGTGCACCATAAATATATACATTTTTTGTCAAATAATTTTATAGAGACTCATGTTGCCCTGATTAAGTGTGATTGTCTAATGTGGCGAAGAGGGAGAATAAAGTCTCATTGATAAGTTGTCTTAAAATGTTTACCTGTGAAATATTTTTTAATTTACTTTAAAGTTTTCTGGTAGCAAGATTTGACAGTTATGTTCAGTGTTCTTTGTAACTTATTTCTTCCATGTCACTGGCTTTATAGGAAGAAATGGACACCAGACCGAAGGTCTCTTCTCTCCTCAACCGTATGGCCAATTACACTAATCTGACTCAAGGAGCAAAGGAACATGAAGAGGCAGAAAACATCACTGAAGGGAAGAAGAAGCCCACCAAGGTGAGGCCTCAGAATATCAAGGACTACGTAAAAAGAGCCCTGTATATAAGAAACAAGGAAATACCTAAGGCAGCATTCTGTATTCAGTAGCTATTTATTAAATGCTTGATAGGTGCCTGGAACTGTTCTGAGCACCAGGGTTGTAGCACAAACAAAACATACGATGCAGTCTAAATTCTAATGTGGGGATACAGTCCTTAATGTTTTAACTGCAAAAATATATAACATATTAAGTGTTGATAAATGCTTTAACAGAAATTTAAACAGAGCAAAGAGACTGAAATTGGCAAGGGAGCCAGAATGGAGGGGGATTGCTACTTTGATAGGTTGGACAGGAAAACCTTTCTGATAAGGTGATATTTGAGGAGAGATCTAGCTGCTGTGAGGGAGTGAGCTATGTGGGAAAAGAGCATTCAGGGAGACGGAATATCTTTTCAAGAGAACTGTGTCCATACCCATCTGCTGATGCCATCTGTCTGTTGTGAAGTTGTTGGGTTTTTTAAAGACTAAACATTAGTTTGTCTCAAAATGAAAATGTAAGACATTCAGTTTACCATTCTGGTTGTTCAGCTCTTTGAAAAAGGGATAAAATGGCCCTCAAACCTTCATTTTACCATCTATTTTATTTACCAACTACTGTGAAGAATTTATGCCAAATTCTGAAGAAATTCCATCAAGTCCTTATTCTTTTTAAATGAAAAAAGCCAATAGCTTTGTAAAACAAAATTTTAAATTGTTGTGGGTGCACATAAAAGTTTATTTGTGGCAAAGTGCCTATGTGTAATAAAAACCTGTGGGAAACTTTACAAAGTTAAAATGTATAGCTTTAGGAATAATGAAAGTGTGGCGATAAACACTTGAAAGATGGAGATTTTTTATGTGCCCTTTTGAAGATATTGATTAAACTTATGATCTCTGCTTTGAGACTAATATGGTAATTAGGGAGCAAGTTAATATATAAAAGATTGAAAACCTCTCTTTAGGATAACTGTTTAATTTTTTGTCAATGTCTTTCTTTCTAGACCCCCCAAATGGGTACCTTCATGGGTGTCTACCTCCCGTGTCTACAAAATATTTTTGGAGTGATCCTTTTTTTACGCCTTACATGGGTGGTGGGCACAGCTGGAGTTCTTCAGGCTTTTGCAATTGTCCTTATCTGCTGCTGCTGTGTAAGTACTGCACTGGCACCTGGAGATCACCTGAATGTTGCAAGTTCTCAAGAGTAGCTGTACACGACCTCTTTGGGAATAAAACAGAGAATGCTAGGGGAGGATTAATGATGTCAACAGAAGAATTGATTCTGATATTAAAATTTAAAGGATTTTCAGTCATTTAGTGCCTATTAGTCATGCTTGCTGTCTATTACATGATATACTAGAAATTACAAAGCAAGACTTCAAATGGAAATAGAAGATGAAGTTCCTGTCTTCAAAGAATTCAGAATCAGAACCATTTGAGCTTGAAAGCACCAAAGTTGTGACAGAAAGTATGTTAGAAAATGTGATGTACTACTCCAGTATATATTGAGAAACAAGACAGGTTATTGGGGATGTGAGGGTAATTGTTATTTTTATTTTGTTTTGAAGTCTCTTCCCTTATCCCTTCTTTAAAAATTCAGATGTTCTTTCCAGGTCTTCTCTATACTATACTGAGAACATTTGTGTCTTCCCTTAATTTAAACTTCTCCTATTTATGTATCCCAGTCACACCGATGAATTTTATAGGTTTCTACTGTCCCCTTTTATCACTATGACCATTTTACCCTACCTTTATATTATGCCCAGCTGATGAGTATATAGCTGATGACCAAAACAGGTTAAGCAGGCACAGTTCATATATTTAGTAACTTAAAACTAATGGTACCACCTTTTTTTTTTAGTTTCTTAGGGTTAAAATCTTAATGCTGTGTTTGCCTTCTTAATTGCTTTTCACATCTAATCAGCTACCAAAGCTAATCTATTCTCTTTCTGAAATCTTTTACACTCAGCCCTTTTTATTCACTCTACCACCTCTATAGTTTTTACCTTTCACTGAACTACTATGGTAGCCTGCTAACCAATCACTCTTCCTCCAGCTACTCCTATCTGCAGTCCATTCTATACTATGCTTACCAGGTAATGTTTTTAAAATGCAGTTCCTATGTGCTCAGAAGCCTTCAGGGGTTTCCTTCCTTACTGAATATTGTTCTTGGTATTGTTTAGTCTTTAGTCAGGTTCTAACCTATTTTCTGAGTTGTTTCTCTAGTTACTTCTTTTGAGTATACTATGCTCTATTTCCTGTGTAACTAGGAAATCCAGAGTGAGATTAGCAGTTTTTTTTTTTTTTTTTTTTTTTTTTTGAGACAGAGTTTCATTCTTGTTGCCCAGGCTGAAGTGCAATGGCACCATCTCAGCTCACTGCAACCTCCACCTCCTGGGTTAAAGCAATTCTCCTGCCTCAGACTCCTGAGTAGCTGGAATTACAGGCATGCGCCACCATACCTGGCTAATTTTGTATTTTTTAGTAGGGACAGGATTTCTCCATGTTAGTCAAGCTGGTCTCAAACTCCTGCCCTCAGGTGATCTGCCTGCCTAGGCCTCCCAAAGTGCTGGGATTACAGGCGTAAGCACCACAACTGGCCAGACGAGATTAGCAGTTCTTAATAGCACCTGACCTACTGATGTGGGAGCATTTTGACAGAATCCCCCAGATATTAATGGTATGACTAGTGCAATGAAGTGGACCATATCATCTTATTTCCATATCATTAGGTGTGACTGTCCATAAAAGGAGATGGAGTTAAATGTTTGCCAAGTGCTCTTGGAACACCAGTGGAGAAGTAGTATAGAAATGTCATCTTTACACAGTAACAATGCTCTCCTTTCCCTTTCCCCACAGACTATGTTGACTGCTATCTCCATGAGTGCCATTGCCACTAATGGAGTGGTGCCAGGTTAGTAGGCCAAGACTGTATTTCAGGATTTATCAGTGTTGACTCTGTGTTTATGCTATAAAGCAAGAGGTGCAAACTTCTGAGGAAAAGAGTACTATTTAGTTTGTTCTGTGCTGCAACAGAGTAATAGTCTATAGGACATAGACATACTACTACTTGACTTTAAGATGTCTTTTTAAAAAATCTATTTTTTTAAACTAGAATGTGTTAATTTCAGTCATATTCTTAGCTTGTATTAGTTAGAAAAGTGTGTGTGTGTGTATTTATAGATAAAGCCTCACTCTGTTACCCAGGCTGGAGTGCAGCGACACAATCATAGCTCACACAGCCTCCAATTCCTGGGCTTAAGCTACCCTCCCATTTCAGCCTCCTAAGGAGCTAGAACTAAAGGTGTATACCACTATGCCTGGCTTTTTTTTTTTTTTTTTGGAAACAGAGTTTCACTCTTGTTGCCTAGGCTGGAGTGCAGTGGCGCGATCTCGGCTTACTGCAACCTCCACCTCTGGGGTTCAAGCAATTCTTCTTCCTCAGCCTCCTGAGTAGTTGGAATTACAGGAGCCTGCAAAAACGCCTGGCTAATTTTATATTTTTAGTAGAGACAGGGTTTCTTCCATGTTGATTAGGCTTGTCTCAAACTCCTGACCTCAGATGATCTGCCTGTCTTGGCCTCCAAAGTGCTGGGATTACAGGCTTAAGCCTCTGTGCCCAGCCCTTTTTTTGGTTTGTTTAATTTTTTGTAGAGATAACTTCTCACTGTGTTGCCCAGTCTGGTCTCAAACTCCTGGCCTCAAGCAGGACTCTCGCTTCATCCTCCCAAAGTGCTATGATTAGAGGTGTGAACCTCCACATCTGGCCAGAATGTATTTTATTGGCCTATCTCATGTCATAGTAAATATTCTCTAATTTATTTCTAAGTAATGGTGGCAAACTTTATTGCTTCATATGGCTCATTACATTAGATGTGCAGTATATCCCACAATAACCCTTTCATCTTTTACTTCCCACAAGCAAGTCTTTTTATCACATTCAGGGTCTACAGAAGCCTGAAACATTTAGCCTTCTTGTATATTTTTATTCTTAATTATGACTTGATCACATTCCTCTTACTAATACATACTCTTTATCCTATTCACCTTCTATTTTGTCTTTTACAGCTGGGGGCTCATACTTTATGATTTCCCGAGCACTGGGCCCAGAATTTGGTGGGGCTGTTGGCCTCTGTTTTTATCTTGGTACCACATTTGCAGCAGCCATGTACATTCTTGGTGCCATTGAAATCTTTCTGGTAAGTAATGACTTCATTGTGGTATATAATATAGCAGAAATATTGATTTGGGTTTATTCTTTGATATGAAAGCTTCTGAGAGATTGGCTGTAGGAATAAATCAGGTGATTGACTGCCAACCCAACCTGAGTTGGCTTCTTACTGTGAATATGAGGTGAAAGGGTTGAAATTCCCTTTGCCTATTTCTTCTTCTCAACCTGATTGCCACCACTCTGCCACCTCATCCAAGAGGGTCAAGCCTTGGAAGCAAGACTTGTACCAATGGGGAAAATGTAAAATAAAGTTTTTTATCTTTTTTGATACCTTCTTCCCTATGAAATAAAATATTTCTCATTTCTCTATTCACTGAGACATATTGTTTACTATTTAAAGTAGTGACAGCAGAATCCGAGTTAAAGATGATTATTATATTTATTTTATATAACCTTGTGAATAAAATTATTAGTTTATCCCTTTCTTTCCATTAGGAAATGTAGCTATTTAGAACAGCATGTAGACCAAAAAAATATGGATATATATATCTATAACATTCCCGTTTCTGTAGGCATTTCAGATCCTATTAGAAACTATGCTAATTTTCCAGTCATTTTCTATCTCAGCTTTGCTTGCTTTTGTAAAAGTAGATGCAAACAGCTATAGCCTTTTTACTTCTTTTGAAATAACCTAATTTTGTACTTTTTTTAACCTAACAGATATATATCGTTCCCCGGGCTGCCATCTTTCGCAGTGATGACGCACTCAAGGAAGCAGCAGCCATGCTAAATAACATGCGTGTCTATGGCACAGCTTTCTTGGTCCTTATGGTATTAGTGGTATTTATCGGCGTACGCTATGTGAACAAGTTTGCCTCACTTTTTCTGGCCTGTGTCATTGTGTCCATCTTGGCCATCTATGCTGGAGCCATCAAGTCTTCCTTTGCCCCTCCACACTTCCCGTACGTGTCTGTCTCTCTGCCTAGCCATCCTTATTGGGTAGTAATGGAAAATATCTGGTGGTGTGATAATTCCAAGTCAGAATTTCATGGAGTCTCTCTGAGATTTTCCCCTTTGGATAAGCCCAGTTAGACTTCCTTCCTTGTCTGGGCAGGAAGCCTCCCAGCAAACTATGTCCTGTTCATCCTCTTTTTTTTTTTTTTTTTTTTTGAGACGGAGTTTCGCTCCTGTTACCCAGGCTAGAGTGCAATGGCATGATCTCGGCTCACCACAATCTCTGCCTCCTGGGTTCAGGCAATTCTCCTGCCTCCGCCTCCTGAGTAGCTGGGATTACAGGCACACGCCACCATGCCCAGCTAATTTTTTGTATTTTTAGTAGAGACAGGGTTTCATCATGTTGACCAGGATGGTCTCGATCTCTTGACCTCGTGATCCACCCACCTTGGCCTCCCAAAGTGCTGGGATTACAGGCATGAGCCACCACACCCGGCCCTGTTCATCCTCTTTCTTACGTAGAACTGGTAGCTATAACAATCATTTAGGTACAAATACTAGGTTTTTTTCTCCCTGATAATTGTACTTAATCTTTTTTATTATACATATTTTGAACTATTCATGAAGGGCTTTGCAAAAATATAGTTATTGCCAGCAACCTTTATAGGTATTTAAATGTTGGATTTTTTTTTACTAATGAAAAATCAAGGGAATCAAAGGAAACCTAAAATGTTTAATAAAATAAAAGGAAATATTAGTAATTTGCATGTATATTTCTATATATGTAATATTAATTCTAATACAACTGCCTTTTTTCATCTTTTTAAAATTTATATATGTTTATGGGGATACAAGTGTAATTTTGTTACATGTACATATTGTGTAGTGGTGAAGTCAGGGCTTTTATTTTTTATTCATTTATTTTTGAGATGGAGTCTCTCTCTGTTGTTCAGGCTGGAGTGTGGTGGCATGATCCCAGCTCACTGCAACCTCTGCCTTCTGGGTTCAAGCAGTTTTCCCACCTCAGCCTCCCAAGTAGCTGAGATTATAGGCATGTGCCACCACACCCAACAATTTTTTTTTTCTTTGTAAAGACAGGATTTCACCATGTTGGTCTGGCTGGTTTCAAACTCCTGATCTCAGGTGATCCACCATCACATGAGCCTGGCCTTTTTTTTTTTGAGACAGTCTCGCTTTATTGCTAATGCTGGAGTGTGCAGTGGCACTATGTGGCTCACTGCAACCTCTACCTCTCAGGTTCAAGTGATTCTCCAGTCTCAGCCTCCTGAGTAGCTGAAACCATAGGCACAGGCCACCGAGTCTGGCTAATTTTTGAATTTTTAGTAGAGATGGGGTTTCACCATGTTGGCCAGTCTGGTCATGGACTCCTGACCTCAAGTGATCTGCCCACCTCAGCCTCTCAAAGTTCTGGGATTATAGGTGTAAGTCACTGCACCCAGCCTAGGTCAGGGCTTTTATCCATTACCCAAATAATGGACTTTGTACCCATTAAGTATCTCTTATCATCCACCTCCCACTTCAACTCCCTAGTGCAAATACCTTAAAGTATGTTTTTTGTGCAGATCTGTAATGGATTTGTGCAGATCTGTGACTCATAGGCCCACTTTTCCCTTTGACTAGTGGCATAGGGACTAGCTGGCACTGAGTGTTATTTGTAGTCTTGTTACAGGATTATCTTGAAAAGACATCTGGATTATCTGAGGATCAAACTCATTGGTCCTATGTTGATTTAACCAGATTACAGAAAAAAGATTTTTCAAGACAAAAAGACAGGTCCAGTGAGGCTTAATGACTTACCTCCAAGTTAATAAATGGCAGAACAAGAAGGTGAACTGTGATTTTATGACTCCCCATTCGTTATTTCTTTTATGCCATGCTATATGATGGCAGAAGTAGATTCCATCTTAAACTTTTAATCTGCTTATCTAGGGACTGTAATATAGCTGAAGGTCCTTTTTAGAGTCATAAAAGTTCTAAAGTTGACAGTCTGGCTGTATCTCAACTTGGGAAATTCCATTTTGCCTCAAGTTCACCTTTGAGGCTTCTCCTCTTCTTTGATTAGTACATAGTCATTATGCGTGGCATTTTCTTTGAGATATTCCAGCAAAACAAGACAAATCTAGAAGAAGACATGAAACAAGCCTGGGAAATGATGGGAGTTATTGAAGCTGAGTACTAGGTACATGGTTCATAATAATGTATTTAATCATTTTGCCAATTTTAAAAGTCTCTTTGTTGAATCTGAGAGGTATTTTAACTATGGATGTATTATTCCTTTGTTTATATTTGTGTCTCTGCGTTAAAAAAATAAAACCAGCAGTTAATATTTGTGTTATAGTTACCCTCACTCCCACTGGGTCTAGGCATAAGTTCAAAAACACTTTTCTCTTAGGCCATCGAGGGATTTACCTTTTAATTCTGGCCAAGCTGTTTTCCTTGCAACAGTAGCCAGAAGATTCGACCTTTAGCATAACATTTTCAAGGTGTTTTTATGAATGTCAGGCCTTTCTAGGCCAAAAAAAGAGGAGTGCTTTTTTCTTTATAAGAACAACAAAAGGACTTCAGTAGTCTTATAGACCTAACAATTTTAGCCAAAAATTTTGGAAGATGAATCAGCGTAATGTCTTCAGACAGTTCTTCAGTTTGAGTTCTGTCACTGCCACCTGCCACCTATGACCTTGGACAGAGAACTGTATTTCCATAACCTTCAGTTAACTCCCTAACTTCCTGAACTTCAATAACTTCATCTACAACATAGAAATTCTAATACATTGTGATGTTGCTGTAAGGATTAAATTGGCAGAAAATGTAAGTCACCACTCACAGTGCTAAAATAAATTATAAATAAATAAACATTAGTTTCTTTTCTACCCTTGATAGTAGAAGCTCTTGGAGATGAGGTTCTTGTTTACTTTACTGACCTGTTTACTTTTTTTTTAATGCATTTTTTTTTCCTTACTTGATCTCTCTCCCTATTTCTTTTACTTAGTGTCTGCATGCTGGGTAACCGCACCCTTTCATCAAGACACATTGACATTTGCTCTAAGACCAAGGAAATTAACAACATGACAGTCCCATCAAAGTTATGGAGATTCTTTTGCAACTCGAGTCAATTTTTCAATGCCACCTGTGATGAATACTTTGTTCACAATAATGTCACTTCAATCCAGGGCATTCCTGGATTGGCTAGTGGTATCATTACAGGTAAGTTAGGGAGTTATTGGACAAGGTTTTTACTGTTTTCTGAGGAAAATAGGCCTTGTCATCTTAGATTCTTCTACTGTCCATAAAGATTCACTGCCATGGTGCTACTTGCCTTCTTAAGCACGCCACACAGCTCTTAAATCAACATATTTCTGCTTTTCCATTAGTAAAGCTGTCCTTATTTAGGATTCCTTTACAGAGTGGTATCTGCTAACATTCACTTCCATTTCAGAGCAGAGTTGAGCAAATCACTTTCTAACCTTAGGATAAAATATTCTGTGTATTCTTGTAAAATTGCCAATGTTCTTCCTGCACTGACAGAACAGAGTGTCCACACCCACATGTATCTTCCTTAGCTAAATTCCTGAAACGTTCCTTAAGTGACTTCTATCATAAATGTTTGGTCTAGAAATTCTTTGTACTTAAGTAAGTTTACATTAAGGTGATAGAAACAGCATTGATGACTAATAAAAAAATTTGTGGGGCATTTAGTTTTAGTCTGTTTAACTTTTACTGATTTGCATTAGTAAAGTTAAACTGCATTTATATGTACCAAATCATTTTGCCAAATTATATTTAAACTAGATAAGAAAGAGCACTATATTTTTATTTATGTGTGTTTTATTGTGTGTGTACATGTGCTCACATAGAAGCAGGCACACCTTTAGAAACTGTATAAATGAGGAATCTGATTTTGAATGTTGTTTGGGTAGAAAATTATCTAATTATCTTCTTTCCCTACTGCTGCTGCTTAAATTCCCATTTTTCCCACTGTAGAGAATCTTTGGAGTAATTACCTGCCCAAGGGAGAGATCATTGAAAAGCCTTCAGCCAAGTCTTCTGATGTCTTAGGCAGCTTAAACCATGAATATGTTCTTGTTGACATCACCACCTCCTTCACGCTTCTGGTGGGAATCTTCTTTCCCTCTGTTACAGGTAAGCACATGAGCCGTTGTCTATTTTAGAAGCTGTCAGACCCAGGAAGTAATTTTTCTCAGGGGAGCAGAATTCTCATGGTTCCTAGATTTGCTTCTAGTTGCTATCAATATCAATATCAAAGTATCCAAGAAGTTAACTTGATTTTTTTTCCCCTTATCTCTAAAGGTATCATGGCTGGATCAAACAGATCTGGAGATCTGAAAGATGCTCAGAAGTCTATTCCCATTGGTACTATCCTTGCCATCCTGACCACCTCCTTTGTCTGTATCCTTTTATGGATCTGGTCTGAGTCTTAGTCTTAGGAACGTAACTAGATGATCAGTATTTTTATCCTGGTAACAAAGATACCTGCTTTCTATCACTTCACTTCTTGCCAGATAATCTGTCCACCTCATATAGAAAATTCAAAAAAGAATTTAGAGGAGTATTTAGCAACTCATTTTACTGATAGAAGAAATATTCTGAGTATCTACTTTCTATCTCATGTTAGAGGGTAAACAGCAGTTTCCTTGACTCTCAATATGGTAGATTTAAGCAATGTTGTCCTTTTTGGTGCATGTATTGAAGGAGTTGTTCTCAGAGACAAGTGAGTAATTAATCTCTTTGTAACAATTCTGTGTCTGTCTGCCATGACTTCTGATCGTTCCACATAGCTCCAAGACAGTTACAAACTCAACACAGCCAGGCACTGTGGGAGGCCAAGGCAGGTGGATTGCTTGAGCTCGGGAGTTTAAGACCAGCCTGAGAACATGGCAAAACCCTGTCTCTACAAAAAGCACAAAAATTAGCCAGGTGTGGTGGTGTGCACCTGCAGTCCCAGCTACTTGCGGGACTGAGGTGGGAGGATCACTTAAGCCTGGGAAGGCAAAGCTGTAGTGACCTATGATCACACCACTGCACTCCGGTGTAGGTGGCAAAGTGAGACCCTTTCTCAAAAAAATAACCCAACCTGAGTTATCATTTATGACTAACAATAAGAAAATGTATTTATGTAGTTCCCAAAGGGGCCAGTATTTGTTAGTAAATATGTGAGACAGTTATAGCTCTTCAAAAAAACAGTGAATTTGTCTGAATAATGACTTCCCTGTACATCGAGAACTGTTCAGAAACGAGACCAAAAGTAAGAAGGGCAAGTAAAAAAAATTTCAAGTGTCTCTAGCATCTCCTCTATGAGAGATGAGTATCTATTTGTGTTTGGCATTCTAAATAAAAGCCTGAAAGTTACTTTCTTCATCTTCTGTTCTTTTCTCTTGTGTTCTTTTCTACTTATTTTTTTAGAGACAAGGTCTTGCCCTGTTGCCCGGGCTAGAGTGCCGTGGTGCAATCACAGCTCCCTAGAGCCTCAAACTCCTGGCATCAAGCAATCCTCCCTTTTCAACTTCCCAAGTAGCTGGGACCACACCTAGCTAGTTTTTTGTTTTTTGTTTTTTAATTTTTTTGTAAAGATGGTGCATCACTATTTAGTCCAGGCTGATCTGGTACTCCTGGGCTCAAGCAGTCCTCCCACCTTAGCCTCCCAGAGTGCTAGGCTTATAGGCATGAGCCACCATACTTATGCTTTCCCCTATTCATTTTTTAAAATTTCCCACACTACACAGGTCTGTCTCCTATTCTTTGTCCACCTCACTCACTTTGTACAGGCCTTCAGAATTTTTGCCTATGTTTTTTGTAATAATCTCCCTTTTAGTTCTACCCTCTAATCCTTCCTCCACACTGCCACCAGAATGGCTTTTCTAAAACACAAAATTTGAACATAAAAACCTCCCTGCTTCAGCACCTGCCACTGCCTCTTAAAATCCATCACCTTGGGTACAGTGGCTCACACCTGTAATCCCAGCACTTTGGGAGGCTGAGGCAGGCAGATCATGAGGTCAAAAGCTTGAGACCATCCTAGCCAACATGGTGAAATCCTGTCTCTTTCAGATCTGGAGATCTGAAAGATGCTCAGAAGTCTATTCCCATTGGTACTATCCTTGCCATCCTGACCACCTCTTTTGTCTGTATCCTTTTATGGATCTGGTCTGAGTCTTAGTCTTAAAATTAGCTGGGCGTGGTGGCACGTGCCTGTAGTCCCAGCTACTCAGGAGGCTGAGGCAGGAGAATTGTTTGAACCTGGGAGGCAGAGGTTGCAGTGAGCCGAGGTCACGTCACCGCACTCCAGCCTGGTGACATAGCAAGACTCTGATTGAAAAGTCCATCACTGTGATCTGGCCCTCTCTACCTTGTTTTATTCTTATCTTCTGCCATTCCCTCATAAATTCCCTAACTTAGAGTTTAATATGTCTTGTTATATCTCCACTTGTATACACATTTGTCTGTGTTGTTTCCTCTGCTTAGAATAGGTTACTCCCACTTAGCTAGCTCATATTCATTCTCTAAGAGATTAGGCTAAGGGTCTTCTCTCCTGTAAAGCTTTCCCATACTCACCCAAACAGAGGTAAACATTCCTCCCTTTGTTCAGGCACTCTATTTGAATATACTATTTTATGTTATTTGTGATGCTATTTTGCAGCTACTTGTTTTCATATCACTCTACCTACACATTGAGCTTTTTGAGGACTCAAAGCCTAATATATCCGATATAAATATTGTTGACAAAAATAAAGAGCACAGTGTATATATATGTATGTAACACAGTATATATCTGTGGGTATATATATATGCGTGTATGTAGTATAGTATATTACTATACCCTTGTAATAGGAAATTCATGGAGCTTTGGTAAGTTACACGATAAAATAAAAATTATTATTGAGACTGTAAATTAGAGTATCATTTTGGAAAACTATTGGTTATTATCTCCTTAAAGAACATCCACTTACCTATGACTCAGCATTTCCTCTCTAGGTATATCTAATAGAAATGCTTACACAGATGCATCAAGAATAATTAACAAGATTTTTCACAGTAGTGCTTTTTTGTTTTTGTTTTTGTTTTTGTTTTGACTGCTTCATTTTCCCTTCATAAGTATTATTCTCAATAGCCAAAACCTGGAAATAATCGAAATGTCCATCACTAGTAGAATGATTTAATTATATGGTCATGTAATAGAAAACCATATAGCGATCAAAGTAAGTCATAGCAATATACAGCTCTCCCCAAAAATATTCACAAGCAATGCTAAGTGAAGAAAACCAAACATAAAAGTATATACTGTATATCATTTATATAAAGTTTTAAAATGGTAGAACTACATAGTATTCAAAGTCAGAAGGCTGGGTATGGTGGCTCATGCCTATAATCCCAGCACTTTGGGAGGCTGAGGCTAGAAAAGTGCTTGAGGTCAGGAGTTCCAGACCAACCTAGGCACCATAGCAAGACCTTATCACTACAGAAAGTAAAAAATTAGCTGGGCCTGTTGGCATATGCCTGTAGTATAACTACTGGGGAGGCTGAGGCAGAAAGATCAGTTGAGCCCAGGAGGTCAAGGCTACAGTGAGCCATAATCAACAGCATTACCCTCCAGCCTCAGTGACAAAGCAAGACCCTGTCTCAAAAAAAAAAAAAGGTCAGGAGAGTAAATAGTGGAGAGGAAGAAAGAGCTTATCATTGGGCATAAGAGAAAATTTTGGGTACTGGCAATGCTCTGTTTCTTGACCTGCATTGAGCATAGGTGTTTGCTTTGTGGAAATCTTCAGATATACATTTGTTGTTTTTTGCACATTACTTTTTGTGTGCTTACTAAAAATTGTTAAGTAATTAAACTGATGCCATCTTTCACCCATCAAATTAGCAGTGATCAGGCTGGGCGTGGTGGCTCATGCTTGTAATCCCAGCACTTTGGGAGGCTGAGATGGGTGGATCACCTGAGGTCAGGAGTTAGAGACCAGCCTGACCAACATGGTGAAACCCCATTTCAAAAAAAAAAGTTAGCAGTGATCTTAATATTTTTATTTTAATACATAAGACTGGTGTGGAGTGTGCATGTACCATAAGACTGGAATACTATTATTCAAATCACTACAAATTTTTATTCGTAGTTTTTTATGACATAGAAAAATGCTTATGTTTTAAGAATACAGAATTATAGGCACAGTAAGATCTCAATTTTTCTTAAAAGCAGATATTTTTGATACCCCGAAGGGGAAAGTTATTACTGAAGCTTAGCTTATTTTCTAGCCCTAACGTATTTTTTTCCTAATATAGGTCAGTAGTGCCTTTTGATCAAATCTGACTATCTTTATATTTCATAATATTATTTGTCTCATTTTTGATTCTCTAAAACTTATAAATGGAAAAAAAAAAAAATGAGTGGGCCAGACACTGTGTCTCACGCCTATATTCCCAGCACTTTGGGTGGCCAAGGCAGGTGAATCACTTGAGGTCAAGAGTTTAAGACCAGCGTGGGCAACATGGTGAAACGCTGTCTCTACTGAAAATACAAAAATTAGCCAGGTGTGGTGGTGCACACCTGTAATCTCAGGTGTTGGGGAAGCTGAGGCAGGAGAATCCCTTGAACTTGGAGGTGGACTTTGGAGTGAGCCAAGATTGTGCCACTGCACTCCAGCCTGAGTGATAGAGTGAGACAAAAAAAGAAAAAAAAAGAGGGGGTAAATGTCTCTAGTATTTCAGTCTAAAGTTATTTCCAGATTAAATTTCCCTACTCCTATTTCCTTCCCAGGTTTGGGGATGCTGTGAAAGGTAATTTGGTGGTGGGCACCTTATCTTGGCCATCCCCATGGGTGATTGTTATTGGCTCCTTCTTTTCAACGTGTGGGGCTGGACTTCAGAGCCTCACAGGTGCGCCAAGGCTGCTACAAGCTATTGCTAAGGATAACATCATACCGTTTCTGAGGGTAAGTGACCTTTTTTAATGTCCTCTTCTTTTTTTTCCCAGCTTTAATGAGAAACAGTATGGTCTTCATGGGCTTAGAAATTACTAGATCATAAATGTAGAGACATGGGTTTTGACCACAAGACCCTCTAAATTCCAAGCATAAGTTTATATGTGAGTGCTGTAATGATGTTTAAAAGATATCACAATTGTAACACTATTGTCTTCCAGATGTCTGGAACTGTAGGCTGGAGGAATCAGACAGCATTGACTCAGTACTCCTATGCCTGATATTTCCCTTCTGTGTGCAGGTTTTTGGCCACAGCAAAGCCAATGGGGAACCTACCTGGGCTTTACTTCTAACTGCTGCCATTGCAGAGCTTGGAATACTTATTGCCTCTCTGGATCTTGTGGCCCCAATTCTTTCCATGTAAGAACCAGTGATTCTCTTCAGTTTTTCTTTTTTAAATGATAAAGAATACATGTTTATTTCCATTAGTCATAGAACAGTAGTGACAAGAGTGGGCTAAAGACAGATGTACTTCACTTAAATAAAAATCATTTCTGAGAACTTTCAAGTAGCGCTAACTTTTGTAAGTTATTAGGTTTTTGCCTACGTATTTAACTTGAGAAGTTCTTTGGCTTCATTTCTAATTCATTATCAGTTGATTATAGCTTTTATGACCACTGTTAGTTTTATTTATTCACCTGTGACTTACTGATGGCTTACTACTTACCTGGCACTGTGTAATATGGTATTCTGGAAATACAAAGATGGATAAGACAATCTGATGGCACTGATAATGGATAAGGAAACCAGCGATCCACATAGAGTGTGATGAGTGTCATGCTAAAGGTGAACAATCAGTACCACAGGAACACCGAAGCAAGACATCTAAACAGACAGAAATGCAAGAAAGATTTTGTGGAGGAAGTGATACTTGTATCTTGAAGAATGACTGGTTACTTGCTAAGAAAACAAGGGATGACAGCCATTCCAGGCAGAGAATGTGTCTAAAGGAATTAAGGAATGATATAAGATAGCAGATCTGGAGAACTGGAAGTAGTTGGGCTCGAGGGGAGGGTGCATGTTGAGGGAATAGCAGAATAGAGAAGTAGGTAGACCAGATCACAGAGGACCTGGAAGTAGTAGGTAATCTTTGAGAACAAAATGGTAATGTTTTAGGATGATCAGTCTGGTATAAAAGATGGATTCGAAGGAGGCTAGAATTGAGCTGGGAATGCTAATTGGAAAGAAGATATGAGAGCCTGAGCTAAGGTGATTAGTAGTAGAGATGAAAAGGAAGAGAAGCAGCTTAGAGATTTTTAAATAGAATCCATAGGACTTGGTAAGTGAATTTGGTACAAGGGTAAGGAAGACGAAACCTGGATTATCCTAAGAACAACTGGGTAAAGAGTGGTTGTGTCATTGAGAGAACAGAGAAGGATCAGCAGGTTTGTGGGGAGAGGTTTAAGTTTATCTGCTTCCTATTTAATCAGGGGTTAGTTGTCTAGAAAGAGGCTTCAATACAGCAAAGGTCTCCAGTTACTTAACCCTCAAGGAATCATCTTCCAGTAATAATCATTCTTCTTTTTTTATTCTTCAGGTTTTTTCTCATGTGTTACCTCTTTGTAAACTTGGCATGTGCCTTGCAAACATTACTTCGAACACCCAACTGGAGACCCCGATTCCGCTACTACCATTGGTAAGTCTGCTGCTTCTCTTCTTTTTACTCACATTTGAAGAGGACCCATCTTTGAACTAGAAAACTAGGAGAATCTGGCTTCTTGATAAAATTTTTTTCTTTGTCAGCCATTTCATACTGTTTCAACTTTGAATTCTTAACTGAATCCTCACCCCCTATCCTATTTTCCTGTATCACTTCATATTAACTTACAACACCCAATAAAAATAGAGCAAAAGCACAGAATAGGTATTTCCAGCCTGCTATAATTTTCAGGTTAAAACAGCCTTCTCTTGCATATTTATTTTCCTGTTTGTCCCTTAGGGCTATGGAGTCAGATAATCTAAGTTCCAATCTCAGCTCTACTATGTCCTACCTTTGTACCCTTCAGCAAAGTACATAACCATGTAAAATTTAATTTTATTCATTTGTAAAATGGGACTAATAAATCTAAAGTGCTTATCATAGTGTCTGATACATAGCAAAGCTCTGCTCTCAACGAAGTGTTGCTGCTGTTGCTATTGTAGTTAAGTCTCCCCAGTCCTGAAGGGGTCATCATTGAAAGTTTTTTGGCTGTCATCCCATCTCTTTCCTCTCATAGCTAAGTGCTCATTAATCATGTCCTGTATGTACCTGTTGCTACATTCTTCTTTGCTGACTTTCTCCTTATTCCCTTTCTGACTTCACTTACCAATAGTGGGCAGTGATGTAACCTTTACTGGGCAAAAATTGAAATCTTCTACTGATTTTTAATGTCTCTAATGCCCTTTCTAGCTTTAACTTTAGTTAAAAGTTCTTTACGCAGCCTGTAATCCCAGCACTTTGGGAGGCCAAGGCAGGCAGATCACCTGAGATCGGGAGTTTGAGACCAGCCTGACCGACATGGAAAAACCTTGTCTCTACTAAAAATACAAAATTAGTCGGGCATGGTGGTGCATTCCTTTAATCCCAGCTACTTAGGAAGCTGAGGCAGGAGAATCACTTGAATCATCGTTTGAACCCGAGAGGTGGAGGTTGTGGTGAGCCAAGATTGTGCCATTGCACTCCAGCCTGGGCAACAAGAGTAAAACTCAATCTCAAAAAAAAAAAAAAAATTCTTTATGAACTTTTTTTGTTGCTATCTTGCTTCTATTTTTCTCTTTCTCTTTACCTTATATTTTCATTACATGCTAGTTTTCTCCAGATTAACTCTCCTGTTCGTTCTTTAAAATTCATCGTAGAGCTAGGAAGTTCATTCTGTACACAGAAAACCTTCAGTAAATGTAGTTGTCTACCTAATTTGCGTGATCAAAACAAGTAATTCTTTATTGTCTGCCAGGTTTCTCTTATGTACAGTCCAAAAATAATAGCAAATTTTTCTCAGCGAGTTCTGCAGGTACGCTAATAAATATTTATAAAATTTAAGAAATATTTACATGAAAAATTTTTAAAAGATCCTAGAGTTATTAACATTTCTGACTGTGTGTCCACCCCTGCTTTGCCAAGTAAGTATTAATTGTCCTCAGAACTACAGATGACTTTCGTAGTGTTCTGTTATTTATGTTTTTCCAGCAGTTGGAAACATCTTCTAATGCAAAGTACAGTTTGGAGTTTAGTGCCCATCTACTGACTGTTTCATGATAAGACAACTGTAGAATTGAGAATAAGCATTTAGAAACTTTTGTGGCAGTTTGACATTGCTGCAGCATCCAGGCATGTGATAATTAAGAATTCATTTTTATTGCATTTTATAAAAGTTCTATTTATAATAATTTCAAAGTTTTTAATAATCCCTTACTAGAGATAATTGGAGAAGCACCTCTAACATAGGCTTCTTTTTCAGCTACTTCAAAAAATACTTTTTGGTATTTGTTTTGTTTTTAATTTTGTAGGGCCCTTTCTTTCATGGGAATGAGTATCTGTCTGGCTCTGATGTTCATTTCTTCCTGGTATTATGCCATTGTAGCCATGGTAATAGCTGGTATGATCTACAAGTACATTGAGTACCAAGGGTGAGTGTGGATTTAATCTTGATCACAGCTAAAAGTAGCAAGACTAGCTAGTTTGGTTAGAGCCAGCTCAGTGAAAATACATTAAGGACTCAGGTAATTTCATTTTGTTCATAACTATATTTTGTACCCCTAATTCTCTAACCATCTTACCGATGCAAACTTTCATCACAAGGGAAATCCGTTGAGAAAGTATGAATGGATCAATGGAAAATAACAAAGGACATATCCAAATAATGATTCATACTAAACGAAGTACAACACAAATATAAATAATTTTGCTCATCTTTTCAGTGAAGGGATTATCTCTGAAATGAAAAAGAAATTAGTTCTGAACAACTTTGTAACTACTAAGACTTACTAACAACTTTCAAAAATGAGGACTAAATAACATTCAGAAGATTACATTGAACTTTCCTTTCTCTGCATTATTTTCAAAGTAACTTAAATTCCAGGTCTGTTATAATTTTTTAATCTAAATTGCTCTTTTACATTATTGCTTTTAAGAATTACATAGAAGGGCTGAATGAGTGACCCCTTCAGGCTTTATTCTGAACTGTTTATGCCGTGCAGTCTGTTGGTGCAGGGTGCTGTTTGTTGATCTGCCTACAACAGGTTCATTATTTTAGTAAAGAACATTTTATCATTAATCTGGGTTTTAATCTTCTACCTTGCACATATGTGATTTTTAGATTCAGAAAAAAAACATTATTTTTTAAAATTATGCTTACTATAGTTTAAATTTGTCTCTGCTCTTTTCTTTTTCTCACAGAGCTGAGAAAGAATGGGGCGATGGTATCCGTGGGCTGTCCCTCAGTGCAGCCCGGTTTGCTTTGCTTCGGTTGGAGGAAGGACCTCCACACACTAAAAACTGGAGGTAAAGAAATCAACACTAGTGGTATTTGGCACATAGTTAACACACAAAAATATGTGCTTTGTTGATTACAGGATAAGAAAACCTTGTGGCTCAAGAAATTGGTATAATGGACCTGTTTTGAACTATTCTAAATCCTTAATTTTTTATTCCCTTTTCTTCATGCCATTTATGGTCAAGATTTCTACAATTTATTATTCTTCCTTGAAGACTGATCAACTTGAGATAGTACTGGGAACATTCAAAATAATACTCTCATCCTGTCATTTCCTGTGATCTCTTCCTTCTGTCAAGTTACCTGTTTTATACAGATCTCCTGAATTAAAGGGTGGAGTCTGTCATTCTGTTCCCCAAACCCAAAATGTTTTCTCCTCCCCTCCAACCCCCACCAACCTCTTCACAGGCCTCAGTTGCTTGTATTACTGAAACTAGATGAAGACTTACATGTCAAGCATCCTCGCCTCCTCACCTTTGCCTCACAGCTCAAAGCAGGAAAAGGTCTCACTATTGTGGGTTCAGTCATCGTGGGGAACTTCCTAGAGAACTATGGTGAAGCTTTAGCTGCTGAGCAGGTAAGAGTCAGACTTTGGATGTATTGGAACTCAGTTCACAGCTTTGTGATGCTAAGTAGTAAGACCTCAAACTTCTACTTAAATCTTGTTCCTGAGAGATCTAGGAGATTTCTCACTTAGTGCTGACCTTCAAACAGACACTTTCTCCCAAATAATAAAGATGAGCCAGAAAATAGTTATTCTTTCTTCCCATTTAAAACATTACTAGATTATAAGGTTATTAAGTCTAAACATTATTTTCAAATACACTCCAAAATTAATCTCAGCACTGAGAAGAGTCATGTAAACAAATTTATTCCTTGAATTTTGGAGAGGATTCCTCTCAATCTTGTGACAACAAGGAGTACTGACCAAATTTTCTTCCTCTTTACTAACCTATGTGGTATCATGAGTAAGATTCCTTTGCTACTTCTGGTTAGCTGTTCTTAACACTAAAGTTCTTTAACAAAGAAGTTGTTTTCACTCTAATACTTACTATATATGATAGAACTAATCCTATTGTTTTTGAAATGCCATTGTGTTCAGTGGCATTCATTTTGGAACGCTTATGAAATCCTAAATACTAGAAATGCTGAAGAAACATTGGTCCAGAATAATGCTAAAAATTAATAAAAGGTACACAAGATTGAAAATCAGGATAGCCTAGTTCTTAGCCGTATCACAAATTTAATCTGTGCCTTTGTGAAAATCATGCCATTTTCCACACCTTTATTCCCTTCCTTAACCTACCAAGAGGGTGGAGTAAGAGTAAATGAGATGATATCTCCAAATTGGCTTGACTAAATACAGGAATAGTAATGTAACTACAAGTGTCATAACTAATCACCATTAAAATGTCAAAAAGCATATGGGAATGGGAGAAGCAAAAAAGAAAACACACCTGAAAAAATTCTAAAGTGAAACTGAATCATCATATTGAATTTCTGGTAAGATGAGTCAGGGCATGACTGGGGCTGAGGCAGGAAGAAGATCGTGTTCACACTAGTGAATCACTCTGGTCAATTGAGAATGTTGAATAGTCACTTTGTAGAGATCCCTGTTCCCAGTTTTTTTGGTATGGTACAAAGGAACAAAAGCAGAAAAAGGAAAAGGCACAGAAACTACATGTAGACGACCAGCTACAGAAGTAAAAACATGTAGTATGCACTTAGAAAGTAAAAAAGACAAAAGATTATTAAATTCCTTTGGGATAATTTTAACTTTTTGGACTTTTCTATAGGCGATACAGTTTTATGCAGACTTTGGAAACAGGTGGGGGATATAATATGGAAAAGAAATAATGGGTTAAAAGGTCCAGAGTGAAGCAGTTTAGTGTTGCGCTCCTGTGTCTCTTTCAGACCATAAAGCACCTAATGGAGGCAGAGAAGGTAAAAGGATTCTGCCAGCTGGTGGTGGCCGCCAAACTGAGAGAGGGCATTTCCCACCTCATCCAGTCATGTGGCCTTGGGGGCATGAAGCACAACACAGTGGTGATGGGCTGGCCTAATGGCTGGCGTCAAAGCGAAGATGCTCGCGCTTGGAAGACTTTTATTGGTACCAACCATTTCTCATACAAACCTAAGGGCCTAAGTCAAGGGGATATAGTTAAATCTTTGTCACCCCAGCCTCCCAAAATAGACGCTATTCCATTGCTGAAGCGTAGTCTTATATGGTAACCCAAAACACTACCAGTAGTAATACCCAGATTCTGCCCATCCCCTTCAGCTTCACATTATGTTTATGAATTACTTATTTCTGTCAGGTCTTGTGCTATAAATTTTCTCCAAAATTGCCATGTTTTCATATGTGCTTTTCCATATTGATGTCCTCACAGGAATTGGAAGGATTGTTCTTCAGCATCATAATCTCCCAAATTCACATATCCCCCCTTAGAAATGTAGTAATCAGAATATACCTAGTAACACAAATTATGGTTCTCAGTCTAATTCTGTTAGCTACTCAGATTTTTCACAATTACTTTTCTTACTTAATGAGATGTAACCTACTAAGTAGATAGGACCCTTTGCTCAAATAAGTGTAAAAAGAGCATTTGCTTGCTTTCCTGATGTGATCGGAAGCAACGCAAGCCTAAGGAGTCTTCTCTGCTTATTCTTTTTTCTCCCTAGGCACAGTTCGAGTGACAACTGCTGCCCATCTGGCACTGCTGGTGGCTAAAAACATCTCCTTCTTTCCCAGCAATGTGGAACAATTTTCTGAAGGCAACATTGATGTGTGGTGGATTGTGCATGATGGGGGCATGCTCATGCTACTGCCATTCCTACTGAAACAGCACAAGGTATTTTAGACACCTTTTTTTTCCACAAAAGTCTTTCTCCCTTCTGTCCTGGTTCACTAGACAGATTCTTCCTTTGATTATATAGTGTTGGAGCTTAGAATCAGAAGGGTTGGAAGTTATTCTGGGCTCTACCATGATTCCAATTTCAACCGTAAGAGAAATCATTGTCTTTGTATTTGAAACCTGCCTATTGTCTGTATATTGCACACATATACATGCCCATTCTATGGTAAGACTAAACTGAAATTTAAAATAGTAAATATTATAGTCTGCATGTTGTCATCAATGTACTATCTGAATAAAGCACCCTCTTAATGTATCATGAGCCATCTTTTGCCAGTGTTTTCTTGTTATGAAATTAAGGACTCCTTAAAACTGTATTAAGTTCGGTGTTTAGTTACAATAACATAGCAAGTAGGAAGCTAGGAACAAATACCCTCATACTATATATAGCAAGGTTCTTCTAGACCACAGTGTCTCTTAGGAAGTAACTTTTTTTGCCTCCTTGCTCTAATTTTCCATATATGTATGTCTCTCTCTAAGGTGTGGCGGAAGTGCAGCATACGGATCTTCACAGTAGCCCAACTAGAAGACAACAGTATCCAAATGAAGAAGGACCTAGCCACTTTCCTGTATCACTTGCGCATTGAGGCGGAGGTAGAAGTGGTGGAGATGGTGAGAAAGCTGAGTTTGAGATACAAGAGGTTCATTCCCCCATTCCTGTCCCCGTCTTCCTTGAATCTTTTCTGGTTTGGGGAATTACTCAGCTCTAAATGTGGATTAATCCCCTAGTGCCAAAAAAAAAACCCCCCTAATTTGTTAACCTAAATAGGATGTATATGTGATGCATATTTGATGTTGCTTTTTGTTTTTACATTCTTGTTTATTACATAGCGCTGATATTTCTGCCAGATTCTCATCTGCTTAATATGGTTCTATGAAATTTTAATTCATATATTCAGCTTAAAATCACACATGGCTTTAAAAAAAAATCGAACAGTATTAAAAAGACTAGAGTTTGTGTTTTGTGTTTCAAGGCAACACATCTATTGGTTAGATCATGAAAAAGATTCTCAGGTCCTCTGGATTTTATCAACAATCACAAAAACATTATGTAGCTCAATGACTAAACAAAATTGAGGAGAAACTTAGGTTAATATTGTGAGGTTTTCCCTGGTTTAATTTAGTGACTGGAAATAAAAATGTGTGGGTCATCCTTCTTTCTCCTTTGTGCTTTTTGCCCCCTTTGTGTGATGTCTATGGCAGCATGACAGTGACATATCAGCTTATACTTACGAGCGCACTTTGATGATGGAGCAGAGGTCCCAGATGCTCCGGCACATGCGGCTGTCCAAAACAGAGCGAGACAGAGAGGTGAGACCTTACTGCATCAATCCAGTCCTGGCTCTCACTGAAAGGGATGATACTATATTGTTTTCACAGGATGACAAATTCTTTCCTTCTCACTGTCAGTTATTCCTCTATAACCCTATTATTACTTCAAAATAACTGAAGAAGAAGCATGAGAGAAAATTTGGTAGAATAACTTGTGTTGGATCTTCCTCAGGCACAGTTGGTCAAAGATCGAAACTCAATGCTACGATTGACCAGCATTGGCTCTGATGAGGATGAAGAGACAGAAACCTATCAGGAGAAGGTGCACATGACTTGGACAAAAGACAAGTACATGGCATCCCGGGGACAAAAAGCCAAGTCAATGGAAGGATTCCAGGACCTGCTTAACATGCGTCCGTAAGTTTTCCCACTCCCAAGTTTGTCATAAAATATAATAACCTAATCAGTGGCACAAATGTGACTTTGCCTGGATATACAGGATAGAGTCTGTTCATTTCACCTCGAATCTGGCCACCTCATTATTGTTTTCCTGTTCGTACTGGCTCCCAATGAACAGTGTACGCAAGCTAACCATCCTCTCTATCCACATAGTTCACCTCCATACTGTGTTCTTAGTATAAAATAAGCAAACAGAGAATGAGAAAACCCAGATATTAATATCATAAAGAAATCATTTTAGGCCAGGAGCAGTGGCTTATGCCTATAATCTTAGCACTCTGGGAGGCAGAGGTGGGCGTATCACCTGAGGTCAGGAGTTTGAGACCAGCCTGGCCAATATGGTGAAACCCTGTCTGTACTAAAAATACAAAAAAAGTTAGCTGGGAGTGGTGGTGGGTGCCTGTAATCCCAGCTACTTGGGAGGCTGAGGCAGGAGAATCGCTTAAACCCAGGAGGTAGAGGTTGCAGTGAGCCTAGATCACGCCATTGTACTCTATAGCCTGGGCAACAAGAGCGAAACTCCTTCTCAAATGAAAAAAGAAAACTCATTTTATCAGATTATCCATAGTCAAGTGAAAAAGCTCTGGATATCAAGTTTTTAAGGTTGACTGTATAGCTAGTTTTCTTTTTACCTTAACAATCTTTATTTCTTTCCCACTCAGAGACCAGTCCAATGTGAGGCGGATGCATACAGCAGTGAAACTCAATGAGGTTATAGTTAACAAGTCCCATGAAGCAAAGCTGGTTTTATTGAATATGCCAGGGCCACCACGAAACCCCGAGGGTGATGAAAACTGTATCCTTTCCAAGAGTGGGGCTTCCAGTAGGGAAAATCTCCTTAGCCTCTTTCTGAGATGAGGTAACAGGGTAACTATAAAAGTTATTGTCTATGCCCCCCACTTTCCCTCTTTAAGGAAGACTGAAAAATCTTAGGTAAGAATTTTTACAAAGTTAATTCTTTTAGGGGAGTTGGGGCAAATATAATTCAATTCTAGAAGACTTTTTAGATGGTGTATTTGCAACATGACAGCTAATATTCAGTGTATAAAACCCTTCCTCACAATCCTACGGAAAGCATATCCACATCCTTTCTCCGTTTCAGGCTCTACCCACTTTGCAAAACCTTTTTATTTTCGATAAAGTTAGGAAAGAAGCTGAGATAGAACCTCCTTTAACTGAGGGGGAAAAAAGAGATATGGATTCTTTCTCATACCTTCATCCCAGGACTTCTGACATGAGGGAAACTGTTCAGCACTGCAACCACATAGATTAGCTTATTCCCACCAGTACCATTTTAAAAAAAAAGAGGTTTAGGCCGGGCATGGTAGCTCATGCCTATAATCCTAGCACTTTGGGAGGCCAAGGCAGGTGGATCAACTGAGGTCACGAGTTCGAGACTAGCCTGGCCAACATGGTGAAACCCCATCTCTACTGAAAATACAAAAATTAGCTGGATGTGGTGGCAGGTGCCTATACTCCCAGCTACTCAGAAGGCTGAGGGAGGAGAATCACTTGAACCTGGGAGGCAGAGGTTGTAGTGGGCTGAGATGACACCATTGCGCTCCAGCCTGGGCAACAAGAGCAAAACTCCCTCTCAAAAAAAAAAAAAGAAGAGAAAGAAAGAAAAACAAAAAGGAAAGAAAGAAAAAGAAGTCTTTAAAAAAAAAAGACAAATTGAACTGGCAGAAAATTCTGACTTGAGAAGCTTCACTTAAAAATTACTTGGGTTCTCTCTAGGCATCTTGTTAGCTGCCCTATTGTGGTTTTTTTTTTTCTTCTTTCATCATTTTTATCTTATTTAGAATAATAGTTGTAGGTTTTCCCATTTTTAAAATAACATTTAGAAAATAACAAATGGGAGTCCTGTATTATGTATGCACCTGGATCCCTGGTTACTTCACAGGGTTAATTTCAATACAAAGTTCAGACTTTTCTGAATATATAATTCAGCAGCTAATTCTGTAACTCTATGACCAGGTAACTTCAGATTATGATGCCAGGTTGTAAGTTTGTACTTTTTGCCTGTCTCCTTGACAAGTTCTGAAGACATGGAGTTCCTAGAGGTGCTTACCGAGGGACTAGAGCGAGTCCTACTTGTCCGGGGTGGTGGCAGTGAAGTGATCACCATTTATTCATAATCTACTCTGAATGACTGTGCTTGGCCTGTTTTCTTAAAAGGCCTACATCCTCCATGGAAGTGCCAGCTCATTACTACCACTCCCACTCAACTAGAAGCCTGTGTTGTATACACATCATACTGAACTCTTGATGAGCTGAGCCTCAAGTACCTGTGTTAAAGAGCTCCCATCTGATCTACAGTTCTTACAGAAAAAGCAAGTACTCCCTCAACATCAGAACAATGTTCAAGTCTTAGGAGCCACGTCTGACCAGTCAAAGGCAAGTTAGAATTAACAAGCTGAGCCAATAAATGAATTGGTAAAAGGGATGCCAGAAATTCAACTGAAGAAAAAAAGTCAAGTACATATTCGACATTAAAGATCAATCTCAGAAGTCATGGTTCAATGATGGCACTGTGCGGATGACAACCAGACACAGCTTTATCTTACTAAAGAATTTATGGTCAAGTATATGTGGACCTATTATCCTTGGCAAGCCAAGATGCAAACATTTTTTAGCTATATTTCTTTAGCATACCCACTGCTCTAATTCTATATTAGGATACTAATGTACAAAACTTGAAACACAGCTGCAGCCTCTACTTCTTCATAAATATTTCCCCAAAAAAACAGATTTAAGTATCCATACTGTATCAGTGTATACTTCAATTGTTTCTCTTAACTCAGAACCCGTTCTGTGGTTGTAACACAGGCAGTTACCATGGAAATTGTTTTTGGTAAGGTAAAAATTATTCCTTTCAGTTTCCTTTCAAATAGCCAAACTAAGAGAACTCCAAAAGGAAGCTATTAACATTTACTGCAATAGTCTGTGGTTCTCTATACAACATGGACAAAACATCCAAGCTGTTATCTAAGAAATGCAGGTCATGATGCGCATTAACCAATAGGTTCTACTTCCCCCGGCTCCACCCACCACCCTCCCCCATGCCTTTTTTTATGCCCTCTTATTAAGCACAGGTCAGAAAATCTTAAGGAACAAATTCAAGGAAAACTGGCTAAAAATCCTTCCCTGAAAGCACTAGACTGTCTTTTAAAGGGCACATCTGGCAATGTAATTGGAAGTTCTAGAGCCATACTCTTTCTTTAGTGCCAGTTACTGAGCGGCTGTTCTCCTTACCTACTTTACTAAAATGGCATTCAGACTGGCATTGGCCTGTTGAAGAAATTTTACTTTCACTAAGAAATCTGTTGCCTCATCTACAAAGCAGTAGTTAAGACTTGAGGCATTCAACTTAATGCCAAGTATAAGCATTTTCCCCTTTTCCTTTCAATTTTATCCTTCATTTTGACTACAGACACTTGGCTCTGAACTAAGAGATTAACCAAGCCAACAGTCTTCTATTTTTTTTTTTTTCTTCAGAAAGTTCAGGCCAGGTGCTATGGCTCACACCTGTAATCCCAGCACTTTTGGAGGCTGAGGCAGGTGAATCACTTGAGTTCAGGAGTTCAAGACTTGGTGGCCAACATGGTGAAACCCTGTGTCTATTAAAAATGCAAAAATTAGCCAGGTTTGGTGGCACACGCCTGTAATCCCAGCTACTACAGGAGGCTGGGGCAGGAGAATCTTTTTAACCCAGGAGGCAGAGGTTGCAGTTAGCCAGGATTGCACCACTGCAGTCTAGGATGGTAACAGAGCAATACTTCATCTCAAAAAGAAAGTTCAATGTGCCAAGGAAATACTTGTGCAAGCTCAGCTTTTTATTTACTCATCACACAACATCTGGCTTACAAGCATAGGGAAACTATTTGGCTGGCTGAGCAGTAATTTCAAGTATATGAAATCTTCATTTCTTTTACAGAATAGGTATTTAACTTTTCTTGCCTTTATTCATGGCTGTTTTTGAATTTCAATTTAATAGTCACAAATAGTGCCACTCTTGTTTGAGTACTCAGTAGGACACGGAGGAAGCTGATCTAAGTGTCACAGATTATTCATTTGACCTGTAAGTACAGAGAAAACTCTTCAGTGTAGCTTAATTGAGTAATTTTGATTTGTTCCCTCTGCTCTTTCTTCAACCTCCAGGCGAACTCAGGATGGCAGCCCAAATAGGATCTTAAGTCTTTTTCTGTTCCCTCCTGCAGATGATAGAAACATTGTTTATAACTACCACTGCAACACTCCATTGCTTAGTTGCTTCTAACAGTAGTGTCAGGTCCCGCTAAGTACCTTTTTTTTTTTTTTTTTTTTTAGACAGTTTTGTTCCCGTTGCCCAGGTTGGAGTGCAATGGAGCAATCTCAGCTCACCGTAACCTTCAATTCCCAGGTTCAAGTGATTCTCCTGCCACAGCCTCCTGAGTAGATAGGATTACAGGCATGTGCCACCACACTTGGCTAATTTTGTATTTTTAGCAGAAACGGGGTTTCTCCATGTTGATCAGGCTCGTCTCAAACTCCCGACCTCAGGTGGTCTGCCTGCCTTGGCCTCCAAGAGTGCTGGTGTGACCCACTGTACCCAGCCAGGATCCAGTATCTTAAAGACCCATATTGTAAAGGTCAGCCTGCCTAGGAATTCCCCCACATTTACACACACCCCTGGCCAAAGTGGTATTTTTGTTTCCATGTAGAACAAATTATGGGCAGACAATAAAAGTTAGTTTTAGAAGTGCTGTTTGTGGTTGGAGCTCTGTAAAAATCTTTTAAAGGGATAAGGGAATTAGTGGCTATTAATGTAGCCACTACTCAAAATCACTATTACATGGAAAAATGGTTATTAGGCCAGATTTATACTAATCTCTGTCTAGAGCATTTCATGTCTGTATGTGTTGCTTATGGTGTCTCCAAAGTCTTTCATCTCTCTTAATCACTGCAAATAAAGCAATACTGAAAACTTGAGAGAATGCACCTTAGGGGAAGGGGCTGTTTCAAGAGAAAAGACAAAGGAAATACCTGCCTCTTGAATAAGATCAAGCTTTTGAGTCTTACCTATGACTTTACCAGGGCAGATTAGAAATACACATCCTCCTATTGCTGACCCTCTGCCTTTAATAGCTGTCTTAAAAGCTTACGTCTGAACTGCAGCATCTGCTTGACAGGTGCCAGCTTCCTCTCGGCAGGGGTAAGATCACTATATGTATCTTCTGTTGCCTCAGATTCCTGTGGCCCCAAGGATCCCACCAATCCTCATTCCCCCTAAACATGTTAACATAAATCCCTTATTGTGGGTATTAAAACAACAGTTAGACTGTATGCATGTTTATGTGCTCTTTTGGTCTGGTTTATTTTTCTTTTCATCATGTATAAGCTGAATCCTGCATTATTTTCTTACATCTTCCATAAGTGTCTCCAACAGAATTTTTATGATGTCCCAGCTTGTATTAAATAGAAGTGAAATATTAAGGAAAATAGATTTAAGGGAACTTGTGCAACTTTTTTTATGCATTGTTCTCAACCATTTAATTTATTGAAAGGATATGCTGCTACACTTCCTGATTTAGCAGCAGTTATTCTCTTGTTTACATAGAGTTATGATTTTATTTGTTGTTTTGCTGTGTACTGGAAACATAAATAAAGTTTTCTACATTATTTTCAGTCAGGGGTTGTGGTATAATTTCTTTGTGTTTATAGTAATATGCACACTGTCCTTCCAGGACCTGTCACCCCACCATGGAGAAAAGACCTTTGTGGTTCTTTTTAACATGAGTGGTGATTTTAAGAGTATGCTGAGGAGCCACTGGGCTTAAAGAAGGGTGTAAAGACCCAAATACATAGGCAGCAGGTGCTGCTTTCTCAGGTTCACAAAAGCAGTCCTCCACCACTGAACTCCATTCTCTGAAAGAAGAAAGAATAAATAGGTGAGTGGCAAATGAGTGTTAAAAATAACTTCCTGATTCAATTACTTAATACTTTAACCACAAGCTCTATTTTGCCTATTTTTAAAAAAGAACTTCCAGGATAGGCACAGTAGCTAATCTTAACACTTTGGGAGGCTAAGAGGGGGACAGATCACTTGAGCCCAGGATTTCAAGACCAGTCTGGGCAACATGGTGAAACCCTGTCTCTACAAAAAAATAAAAAAATTAGCCGGGCATGGGGGTGCGCACTTGTAGTCCCAGCTACTTGGGAGGGTGAGTGCTAGAGCCTGGAGGTCAAGGCTACAGTGAGCAATGATTACACCACTGCACTCCAGCCTAGGCAAAAGAGCAAGACTTTGTTTCAAAAATAGTAACTTAAAAACTCCTAATGGCTCTTATTTTTTAAGAAACTCTAGGTCAGGCGTGATGGCTCACGGCTATAATCCTAGCACTTTGGGAGGCTGAGGCGAGTGGATCACTTGAGGTCAGGAGTTTGAAATTAGCCTGGCCAACACAATGAAACCCCGTCTGTACTAAAAAAATACAAAAAAAATCTGGGCATGGTGGCAGGCACCTGTAATCCCAACTACTTGGAAGGCTGAGGCAGGAGAAGTGCTTAAACCTGGGAAGCAGAGGTTGCAGTGAGCCGAGATCGCACCACTGCACTCCAGCCTGGGCAACAGAGGGAGACTCCATCTCAAAAAAAAAAAAAAAGAAGAAACTAATACCAACTCTAATTTCCCCACCATCGAGTAAGTCAGCTATTCACTGTACACTACAACCACCCAGAATTCAGCTTTTCTTTTGCCTTACCTCAGGGGGCTCAATGAAAGCTAACCAATCTGATGCATGTGTAGGCAACAGTCCCATGGACTGGCACTTGTAAACAGCCAATGCCAAACCCATCAGGTTCCCAATGAGATACACCAAACCCTGAAGAAACTTCTGGCTTGAACTCTCTAACATCTTGAAAGCTGTTGGGGTAACAGAAGTTGTCAAAACCAAAAGAACTCTTTCCTCCAATATGAATCAAGCCAACCATATATTAAAATCACACAGACCCATAGTAAGACAGCAAACAGGACCATTAAAGGCAAAAGGAAAATCATGGTAAGTACTATATTCCCCTCCATGCCACCACCATTACCCCACCTCTCTATATGCCTATTAGCCAAAAACTGTCCTTAACAATTTGCCTTTAATTCTTTTTTTTTCTTTTGAGATGGAGTCTCACTTTATCACCCAGGCTGGCATGCAGTGGTGTGATGTTGGCTCACTGCAACCTCCATTTCCAAGGTTCAAGTGATTCTCCTGTCTCAGCCTCCCAAGTAGCTGGGATTACAGGCATATGCCACCATGCCCAGCTAATTTTTGCATTTTTAGTACAGATGGGGTTTCACTGTGTTGGCCAGGCTGGTCTCAAAGTCCTGACCTCAGATGATCCACCCACCTTGGCCTCCCAAAGTTGCTGGGATTACAGGTGTGAGCCACCACACCCGGCCTGCCTGTAGTTCTTATAACTTATGGAAGGGTTATTGTTTCAAGAATACTTACTGGCTGAAATGGCCATAAGTGCCTGAATGGGTCGCCAGGCCATCATACAAACCATCATAGTAGGAAAGATGGAGATAGTATTGCCTGCCATGTACATGATGAAGAGGTTCATGGGAATCTGTTTAAGGGGACCCAAGGCGATGTCCCAACAGCGCTGAAACAAACACACAATTTTAACCCTCTGATCACCACCCTCAGATTTGCATGACATTAACAACCCACTGACATACATGTAACACTACTCTCAACAACTGCAGAATTCACATTATTTTCAAACACGATATTTGTAAAAACTGACCACTTGCTGAACCATGAACGAAATGTCAATCTCAAAGAATGCATATTGTATAAAACACTTGACTATAATGCAATTAGATTAGAAATAATTTTATAGTAACTAGAAAATCTCTTATGTTTGGAATTAACAATGATACATGAGTCGATGAAATTATAATGGAAAACAGAATTATAACAAATATACCACATTTTGAAACTTGGGGGACATAGGTAGAGCTCTGAGAAATGTGTAACTTTAAATACATACTATATGGTTGATACAAAAGTAATTGCGGTTTTTGCCATTAAAAGTAATGGCAGTCTGGCCAGGCGTGGTGGCTCATGCCTATAATCCCAGCACTTTGGGAGGCCGAGGCGAGTGGATCACCTGAGGTCAGGAGTTCAAGACCAGCCTGGCCAATGTGGTGAAACCCCATCTCTACTGAAAATAAGAAAAAATTAGAAGAAGTAAAAATCAAAACAAAAATACATACATATATATATATATATATATATGAAAAAATTAGTTGGGCATGGTGGTGGGTGCCTGTAATCCCAGCTACTTGGGAGGCTGAGGCAGGAGAATTGCTTGAACCAAGGAGGCAGAGGTTATAGTGAGCCAAGTTCATGCCATTGCACTCCAGCCTGAGTAACAAGAACAAAACTCTGTCTCAAAAAAAAAAAAAAGTAATGGCAATCTAAAAATAAACTGAGCATCTATTTCAAGAAACTAGAAAAAAAAAAGCATTTTTGAAAAGATTAATAAAATCCATACTGGTGATGGGTACAGTGACCTGTAAAAATAAATGAAAATAATTTTTAAAAAGTCAATACCAGGCCAGGCATGGTGGCTCACACCTGTAATCTCAGCATTTTGGGAGGCCAAAGCAGGTGGATCACGAGGTCAGGAGTTAAAGACCAGCTTGCAAACAGAGTAAACCCTGTCTCTACTAAAAAATACAAAAAAATTAACTGGGCGTGGTGGTGGACAGTTGTAATTCCAGCTACTTGGGAGGCTGAGGCAAGAGAATCGCTTGAACCCGGGAAGCAGAGGTTGCAGTGAGCCAAGATGCCGCCATTGCACTCCAGCCCAGACTACAGTGCGAGACTCCAACTCAAAAAAAAAAAAAAAGTCAGTACTGGTAAGCCTGATGAAAAATGGAGACAAATAAATATTCAACATCAGGAATGAAAAAACGTCCATCAGATCTTGCATATAGGGAAGCGATCATATTATCAACAACTTTATGTAAATACATTTGAAATTTTAGGAAATGGATAAGTTCCTAGAAAAAATATAACAAAATTACACGAGAAATTAGAAATATAAATAGCCCCAGGCCGGACACAGTGGCTCATGCCTTTAATCCCAGCACTTTGGGAGGCAGAGGCAAGTGAATCACCTGAGATCAGGAGTTCAAGACCAGCCTGACCAACATGGCAAAACCCCATCTCTACTAAAAATACAAAACAGCAGGGCATGGTAGCGCGTGCCTGTAATCCTAGCTACTAGGGGATGCTGAGCCAGGAGGATCACTTGAACCTGGGAGGTGGAGGCTATAGTGAGCCGAGATTGTGCCCCCACACTCCAGCCTGGGCAACAGAGTAAGATTCTGTCTCAAAAACTATATATAAATAGAAAAAGAACTATAAATAGCCCCTATAACTGTCAAATAAATTACAGTTAAGCCCAGATGGCTTCCCTTGGCAAATTCTACTTAACATTTAAGGAAAAAATAAAGTTAGGCTGGGTGTGACCAAGGTGGGTAGACTGTGTGAGCTCAAGAATTTGAGACCACCCTGGGCAACATGGTGAAACCCCCCATCTCTACAAAAAATCTGCCCAATGTGGTGGAGTATGCCTGTAATCCCAGCTGCTTGGAGGCTGAGGAAGGAGGATCCCTTGAGCCCAGAGGGTAGGGGCTGCAGTAAGGTGAGACTGTGCCACTGTACTCTAACCTGAGTAACAAAGTGAGACCCTGTCTCAAAAAAAAAGAAAAAAAGAAAGCTAATCTTACATAAACTCTTTAAGAGAATTAAAAAATGCACATTCCACAACTAATTACATGGGGCCTCATAAATACCATGACCTGACAAGGACATTAAGGTAAAAGTTTATGGGCCAATATTACTCATGATTCTAAATGAAAAAATCCTAAACAAAATATTAACAAAGTAAATCTAGCTATATTAAAAGAAACATTATATATATAAATGATATGTAGAAATATAAAGTAAGTAAACAGGACAGGGATTGCCATGAGGGTAGGCTTCACTAAGAAGCTAACATATGAGAGACCTAAAGGAGATAAGCAAATCATAAAGTATCTGGGAAGGAGGATTTCAGAAGGAGGGAAGAGCAAGTACAAAAAGCCTGGGATGGGAGTTTGTATGGCATCTTTAAAGAGCAGCAAGAAGGCCATTATGACTACAGTGGACTCAGCAAAGGGGAAAATGGTAGAAGTTAAAGATATTACAAGGAGCTTGATCAATGCAGACTTATGTAGACATTATAAAAACGGGCTGTTGTGCTGAATGAATGTACAGCTACAGGAGGGGTTTTTGTAGGAATGACTTATGTTTTAAAAGGATCATTCTAACTGCTGTGCTGAGAATAGACTACAGAGGGCAAGTAGCAAGACCAGTTAGTTACAAGTCTATTGCAGAAGGGCACAAGGAGGAATCTTTTGGAAATGAAAGATAAGTTATTTCGAGATGGTGGTTTCATGGGGGTATACCACTGTCAAAGCACATCATATCCTATCCTTTAAACTAACTAGTGGTTTTCAAATGAGGGCAGTTTGCCTCCTGAGAGACATATGATAATGTTGGAGACATTTCTGGTGTCACAACTAGGCAGGGACACTACTGGCATATAATGGGTAGAGGCCAAGGATGCTGCTAAACATCCCACAGTGCAAGTACAGTCCCCCACAGCAAATAATTATCCAGCCCAAAATGTTAATAGTGCTGAGGCTGAAAATACATGCTTTAATTGAATGTGGTTGTACATAAACTATACCCCAAAATAACTGACTTTTTAAAAGGTCTACTGCAGAAATCTAGATCGTTACTTGGGTCAGGTTGAGAGGTGAACACAGTAAGAAGTAGTAGATAAAGCCAACAGAATATCCCGACAGTTGGAAATGTGGTGTAAGGGAACTAGAGTAGAAAAAAAATCACTTCAACTGGAAGATGTTGCCACCAAAAGATCATTTTCAACCTACTTTCTTATATGTTATGTTCCAAACATCTTTTATTTTTCAAACTATTAAGCACTTTTGTAGCTGATCTATAAACAACCGAAATACCGGTCTCGAGCAGTTTAGTTTCCAAATATTCAAGATAAGGGCTATCTACAGTAATTTCACCTGGGAGAAGAGGATGGGTATATGAGTCAGGACTGGCCCAAGGACTACGGTAACATCTATACCTCTGTACCTTCTCCACCAGGATCCGGTCTGTCTCTTGCACGCTGGTATCAGGCACTTGCTTGTCCAAGTAACCGACTGGGTAGAGTGAGTCTCCCTGGCCACTGCCCCGGTCACTTCGACCCCTAAAAAACCAAACCAAGAAACTAAAGCTGCAACCTCCGACACTTCATATACCACATTTCCTGATCTACCAATTATAGGAATAAAGATGTTCAGATGCACCTACTCAGATTAGACCAAGCTCCCTCGTGTGTTCCTCGGTCCCTTATCAGGAGGACTGATGTAAACATTCTTTGGGCAGAGAAACCTCCACGGCAGAAAAACCGATACCTCCCCAGGTGATGTCTGTATGCCACTCATCTTGTTCAGAGTTATGCCTGAGGGATCGGGTCTCATTACTCTGGTGCTGTTCTGGGATGAAGAGTGACGTACACTTGCCCAAGCGCCTCACCTGCTGCCTCCTCCAGGCCCGCTTAGCTCAATGGCCCACTTGAAGCGCCGGCCTCGGTTAGCCACCAGGCCCCCCTGGGCCGTCATGGCAACTGCCGCTTCCTATACAGCCCCGATGCTTCTCACTCAAAAGCTTACTCCGCAACAGGCCCACCTGCGTTCTCTCCTTTGTCTCACTCCGTAAATGCACTTCCGGCGCGTGAATACAGACGTCATTTCCGCCCCTGAAATTGGCGGTGTTGCAGGTTGTGGAGTCCGTGTTCGGATTTAGAAAAGCAGGGAGGAGAGAAAAGCAGGCAAGACTTAGTGCTTCCTAAAGCCATTTTCGAGCGCTCTCTACTTTTTGAATATACGTGTTATGTTTTCCCGGACCTCAGAGGTGCGCTTTATGGGGCAGAAAGAAAGCCCATACTGACTCAGCGTTAAGAATTGGTGGACGGATCACCTGAGGTCAGGAGTTCGAGACCTATCGGGCCTACATGGTGAAACCCCATGTCTAGTAAAAATACAAAACATTAGCCGGGCGTGGTGGCGGGCGCCTATAATCCCAGCTACTCAGGAGGCTGAGGCAGGAGAATCGCATGAACTCGGGAGGCGGAGGTTGCAGTGAAATGAGACCACGCCATTGCGTTCCAGCCTGGGCAACAGGAGCTAAACTCCGTCTCAGAAAAAAAAAAAAAAAAGGCAGCAGCAGCCAAGAAAAGCTTCTTAACCTCCTGCGCACTCCCTGGAAGGAAAGATTCAAATCCTGTGTTTAAATCCTAATTTGACCTTGAACGAGTTACTTAGTAGTTTCTGAGTATCGAGTGTCCACTGTGTCCTAGGAGCTTTGCGTTTATTTCATTTCACTTGCACAGTAACCTTGTGACGTAAACAGTTTTAACCCCATTCTGCACAAAGGCAAGGAGGCATAATGAGCATGGAAAGGAACATGGGCTCGGTATTCATATAGTCTGCGTTTGTTATTGTTTGTTATGCTTTTGTTTTCTGAGACAGGGTTTCACTCTTGCCGAGACTGTCTTGCAGTGGCTCGTATCACGGCTCACTGGAGCCTGGACTTCCCAGCTCAAGCGATCGTCCCACTTCCCACTTGAGTGTTCCTAGGAGCTAGGACCACAGGACGCGCCACCACGCCCAACCTTTTAATTAATTAATTTATTTTTTTTTTGAGACAGGATTTTGCTCTGTTGCCCAGGCTGCTCTCAAACTCTTGGTCTCAAGTGATCCTCCCGCCTTGGCCTCCCAAAATGTTGAGAATCCCGGTGTGAGCCACTGCACCCAGCAGATGGCCTCCTCTTGAATCCTGGTTTCACCACTTAATAATTGTATGATCTTGGGCAAGTTAAATCAATTATGTTTCAGCCTCCTCATGTAAAAGTTGGATAATCTACCAACTTTCAAGGCTGTGAGATTAGTGCCCAACACATATGTGGTGTTTTTGAACTTCCCACCTCAGGTGATCCGCCCGCCTTGGCCTCCAAAGGGCTTGGATTACAGGCATGAGCCACCACACCCGGCCCATATGTGGTGTTTTTAATGATGTGTCACACCATTACCAAATCATTCACACCACTGATGGTTTTTAATGACATGTCATTAAATAATGTATGTCATTCTTTGAAGTGTTTAGGTTTGGTATTGAATAGTATACCTTTTTCATAATTTAACCTATTATTGGACTTTTCAGTTGTTTCCTGATTTTCTTCCTTTTATAACCAGTGTTGCTGTAAACATAGCTGTATCTTTTCTTATTTCCTTAAGTGATAGTCCTAGAAGTGGAATTGGAATTGCTGGATCAAAGAGTATGCATGTTTTCAAAGAATTTTCATTTTAAATGCCCACCCGGGGCCAGGCATGGTGGTTCACACCTGTCATCCCAGAACTTTGGGAGGCCAAGGCGGGAGGATTGCTTTAGCTCAGGAGTTCAAGACCAGCCTGGGCAACCTACTGAGACTTCATCTCTGCAAACGACAACAAAAAAAATTAAAATGCCCACTAGGAAAATTGGCATCATTTACATTTCATAGTCTTTATAATTTTTTTTAAATTGTGAGTTTAAAATGGTACTGTATTTTTTTTAATTTGTATTTCTTTGACTCCAAGTTAATTGATATGGCTGGAGCTGGGGGGAGGGAGATGCTGTGAGAGGTAAGGTTGAAAAATGCTTCCTTGGCCAACTAAAATGTTGGGATTCTTGACAATGATGGTGATGTAGAGAGGCTGAAGATTTCCACCTCCACTTTGTTTTCTGATTTTAAAAATATGTGTTCATAGCAGACTGCTTAAACAAGGCAGAAATGAAAGTCTTTTGCCCCTCCAATCCTTCTTAAAATGTGTATCTATCTGATTGTAGGAAGACCTAACTTATCGATTGTATTTTTGTTCCTTTCGACTTTTTGCCTTTACTACATTCTCTCTGATGAACCTTATATTCATCTCAAGCTTCTGACCCTATTGGACTTTCCTCTTTATTGCATTATATTCTTCATAATAGCACTTGCCACATTGCATTTTGTTTGTTAACGTCCCCTGAGCACTTATTTCTACCCCTCTGTAGACTACCCCAAATCCCTTGACGTCAGAAGCTATATATTATCTTTGAGTCTATTTCGTAGAACATAGAAAGTATTAAATAAATGTTTAGTGAATGTGAGTAAATGAAATTGAAAGTAAACAAACACCAAAATGTGAATGTACTATAACTACACTTATGTAAAATAAAACATAAAAAGGGATATACATTGTACTGGGGCAATGATTTTCATGCAATTTTGTCTTAATTTTCAAGATACTCTTCTTATTCCTTTTTTTTTTTTTTTTTTTTTTTTTGAGACTCACTCTGTCACCCAGGCTGGAATGCAGTGACATAATCGGGGCTCACTGCAACTTCAGCCTCCCGGGTTCAAGCAGTTTTCCTGTCTCAGCCTCCTGAGTAGCTGGAATTACAGGTGCCCAGCACCATGCCCTGCTAATTTTTCTGTTTTTAGTAGAGATAGGGTTTCACCATGTTGACCAGGCTGGTCTCAAACTCCTGACCTCAGGTGATCCACCCATCTCGGCCTCCCAAAGTGCTAGGATTACAGGCATGAGCCACCACACCTGGCCTTTTTATTATATTTTAATAAATTTTTTTAACTTACTACTTGTTTGAGACAGAGTCTCACTATGTTGCCCAGGTTTGTCTTGAACTCCTGGGCTTAAGCAGTCCTCCTGCCTTGGCCTCCCAAAGTGCTGGGATTACCGGCATGAGCCCACACCTGGCCCCTGCTTTAATAAGCTTTAAACGAACATTTTTCATTAAGTTTATCATTGGAATCATATATTCTCTCTACTTAAATTGTTCCCTGCATGCTATAAAAATTAGTAAACTATAACCTAAATTAAAGTTGCTTTGGGCAAGGCACAGTGGCTCAGGCCTGTAATCCCAGCACTTTATAAGGTCAAGGTGGGTGGATCACGAGGTCAGGAGTTCAAGACCAGCCTGGCCAAGATGGTGAAACCCCGTCTCTACTAAAAATACAAAAAATTGGGCTTGGTGGCAGGCGCCTGTAATCCCAGCTATTTGGGAGGCTGAGGCACAGAACTGCTTGAACTTGGGAGGCGAAGGTTGCAGTGAGCCAAGGTAGTGCCACTGCACCCTAGCATAGGTGATAGAGCAAGATTCTGTCTCAAAAATAAATAAATAAGTTGCTTTGGCCTCAGTGGGGTACTCTGGATCACTCATTTCTTTATCCTAGGAATCCTCATGGTATAATTTGTGAAACTCTGTTTCAGAAAATGAAACATCAGGACTAGGCTGAGGATGGTTCAAAGGTTAAATAAATTTGAAAAATTCTACATATTTTATTCTGCACACACACCCAAGTGAGTCTTAGTGCTATTAGTATAACATATGAAAATAACAAGAAATTGTTTAGTAAAGAATTTCCTATAATTTTCTTTCCCAATCTACTTAAATAAGGAACCTGTTTTTTGTTTTTTGGGTTTTTTTTTTCTTAATACATTTGTTAACATCCAATAGAATCAGTGTTCCACAGAATACAGTGAGGGCAACTGCTCTATATGCATGCTAGAACTCTTCAGGAGAAAGATGAAGGTTTTGCCTGTAAAGCTTTGCTTGTTATTTTTAAAATATTCAAAGATCATTAGAAATAATAGGTTATTTATGGAAATGGAGCTTTGAGTTGAAATTAAAGTTTTAAGGATTCAAGTTTTTGCACAAATTTTGTTTTGCAAGGAAAAGAAAACTAGTATTAGATTTTCCATGCCTGGTGTGGTGGCTCACACCTATAATCCTTGTGCTTTGGAAGGCTAAGGTGGGCAGATCACTTGAGCCCAGGAGTTTGAGATCACCCTGAGCAACATAGTGAAACCCTGTCTCTACAAAAAATAGAAAAATTAGCCAGGCATACTTTCTTGCATCTGTAGTCCCAGCTACTTGGGAGGCTTAGGTGGGAGAATCACTGGAGCCCAGGAGGTCAAGGCTGCAGTGAGCTGAGATCTTGCGGCTGCACTCCAGCCTGAGAAACCTGGATTCTAATCCTGACTCCAAATGAACTACATGATTCACTTTGAATTAGCAGTGGATGTCATTACTTGTGGAGTCGATGAGCTGTTGCTGTCTTTTAGGTCCCTTCAGGCATTGTCCTCTGTCAGGCTCAGCATCAGTCTCAGTCAAGGAGAATGACACACAGAGCAGTAAATGCTATGGCTCCTTGGACCCTGGACTGAACTACACTTTTATACCTAATGTTCTTGCCTTCAGTCTTTCCTCCCTACCCCTAGCCATCTAGCATCCTGGTGACAAATCAGCCCTTCTTGTTGTTGGTGTTTAAGAGATAGGGTCTTACTCTCTTGGTGGAGTGCAGTGGTGTAATTATAGCTTACTATAATAATTTTGAGCTCCTTGGCTCAAGTGGTCCCACCTCAGCCTCTCGGATAGCTAGGACTACAGGTATATACCACCATACCTATTTTTTAAAATTTTTGTAGAAATGAGGTATTGCTATGTTGCCCAGGCTGGTCTCCAACTCCTGGCCTTAGGTGATCCTTTCACCTCAGCCTCCCAAACAGATCAATCCTTCTAAAGCACTGACTTCACTAAGCTATTCCCCTGCTCAACTGTCTTTGCTGACCCCTTTACCTTCAAACACCTTTGCTTGATAATTCCAGATCTTCACAACCTATCAGGTACCTACATACCTTTT